CAGAGTGAATCACAGAGGCCGCCCAAGCGGAGCCGCCGGCCAAGTCTGCCGGCCGCCCGCACGCCGGGCCCCGGGCCCCACACGCCAGGCCCCGCAGCCCCACACACCGGGCCCCACGGCCCCACACGCCAGGCCCCGCGGCCCCACAGCCCCACACGCCAGGCCCCGCGGCCCCACACGCCGGGCCCCGGGCCCCACATGCCGGGCCACACGGTCCCACAGCCCCACACGCCAGGCCCCGCGGCCCCACACGCCGGGCCCCGGGCCCCACACGCCAGGCCCCATGGTCCCACAGCCCCACACACCGGGCCCCACGGCCCCACACGCCAGGCCCCGCGGTCCCACAGCCCCACACGCCAGGCCCCGCGGCCCCACACACCGGGCCCCGCGGCCCCACACGCCGGGCCACACGGTCCCACAGCCCCACACGCCGGACTCCACAGCCCCACATGCCAGGCCCCGCGGCCCCACACGCCGGGCCCCATGGTCCCACAGCCCCACACGCCAGGCCCCATGGCCCCACGGCCCCACACGCCAGGCCCCATGGTCCCACAGCCCCACACGCCGGGTCCCACGGCCCCACACGCCAGGCCCCACGGTCCCACACGCCGGGCCCCATGGTCCCACAGCCCCACATGCCGGGCTCCACGGCCCCACATGCTCCACACGCCAGGGACACGTGACCTCCCAGGGGGTGGACTTGCCTGGTAGTAGCAGGGGGACCCTGAGGGCACCCCTTCAGTTCTTTCCTCTGAACCAGAGGGGTGAGGACGGGGCCTTGGGAGGGCTGACCCGGATGGCACGGCTCCTCGCAAACACCACTGCCCTTTGCAAAGGGCCTACTACGCGCTGGTGCTGTGCTGGGTGCTCCCCTCGGGCCCCTTGCTTTGCCTGCACAAACCCTCATGACAGCCAAGGAGCTCAAGGGGGTGCCTGCCAGGCCAGCCGCCCTCACCTGCAGGCCCCGGCAGGGGGAGGGGGGACACGGGCCCAGCTCTCCCCCTGCTCCGGCCTCAGGCTCACTCTGTTCCTTGGGTGCCCAGCCTCCTGGCGAGGCTCCCCCGGCCTCCCCAGCCCTTGGTTGCCGACTCCTCCAACGAAGCCCACCGCTTGCTCCCGCGGCACTGTTTCCCATCGAGTTGGCTCGGGTCAGGGGTGGCGTGGGGGGACCTGCTGCAGATTCTAGGGCCCCGGGGAGAGGGCCCTGGGGGGAGGGCCCCGGGGAGAGGGGCGCGCAGCGGACAGGGAGCCTGGCCTGGCCTGGCCTGGTGAGCCCGGTGCAGGCGGGTCCCAGAGCCCATGTGCTCCCTCCCTCCTGTGGGTGACACGTGGCTGAGGGCACCCACGGGTGGAGGGGACGGGACAGGGACGCCATGGAGGGCAGCTGCCCGGCAGTGCCCAACGCAGCGAAGGAGGGACCAGAGGCCTGGCCCCGGTGGGGAGCACCTGGAGCCTGTTCCCTCCCTCCGCCACCGGCCGCATCAGGCAGCGGCGGCGTGTCCATCCGGAACTGCGTCCTGCCTGAGGCTGCGGTGACCCTGCAGGGGCCGGGGCAGAGGGCAGGCCGGAGGGCGCTCCGCCCGAGGACCCACAGGGACCCACACACACACACACACACACCCCCGGGCTCCCGGAGGGCGCCAGCCTGAGGCCAGAGGAGAGGGCTGCGGCCGCGGCTCGCAGCGTTTCCGCCGGCCCGGCCCGCAGGAAGTGGCCGCCTCCCGGACAAAGGGGCCGGCGGACAATGGCCATTGAATTGGGCCGGGCGCTCGCGCTCCGACCGGCCGCCAGCTGCCCGCGCAGATAAGCCGGCTCCGCCGCCCCGCCCCGCCCCGCCCCCGGCCGCCGAGGGGCCAATCCCGGAGATCGCCGGGCGCCGGCCCCGCCCCCTCCTCCTGGCCCCGCCTCCAGGCCGGCGGCGCGCACCGCCTGGGAGTCGGGCCCTGGCCGCGCGCCGGGCCCTGCGAGCGAAAGGAGCCGCGTGGGGGGACTGAGGCCTGACACCCCATTTCCCCCGGAGCACCGGGCCCGCTGCCGGGGACGCGGCGGCGCCTCCTGCACCTCGTTTGGGTGGAACCTCAGCCCGGAGCCGCCCTGCGGGTCCCCCCCTCCCTCCAGCCCGCACCCCACCCCCGGCTTTGGGGCTCCACACGACAGCCTGGTCTCACGCCCCGGAAAGCCATTTGGGGCCCCATTTCCTCAGACTCTCCACCTTGGGGACCCCTCCTCCTGGGGCCCCTGGCACAGCCCTGAATGTGGCCCTGAGAGCCAGCTCTGGGGCAGTGGGGTCCTTGCCCAGGCCTGGCCCTGCAGCTGGGCAGCAGTCAGCTCTGCCTGGCCTGGCCCTGTGGCTGTAGCTTCGAGCAGCAGATCCGTGACCAGGCACGTGGCAGGGGTCCCAGCACCCGCCTCCCCTGGGTTAGAAAGCTACGGGAAGAGGGGTGCTGACGGGGGCAGGACCTGCAGGTTCGGGGAGGCTGAGGCAGGCTTCCTTCCTGGGCAGGTGAGGTGGCTCAGGCCTCTTCCCACTCCCCCCTGCAGGCACCTAGGGTGAGTCACCTGTTCCTGGCCAGCCCGGGCAGGGCAGGGCAGGGGGTGGGGAGGACTCAGGAGCCCAGGCCCAGCACCCCGGCCCGACAGTCCAGCCCCGGGTGCTGGGACCACTGGCACCAGCCAGCAGGCCATGCCCTCAACAAGCCCCTGGCCTGGTGATAATTTGAGGTGGGGGGCTGCAGGGCCAGGAGAGGGCTGACAGCTGTGGGGCATTACTGGGAAGGAAGGCTTCTCGGAGGAGGTGACACTGTGCTGGGTTCTCAGAGGAGGGAGGACCCCATGCATAAGCGGGAGTCGGGGAGAAGCCAGGTGTTTGTGGGAGGGGGGCCAGGTGGACTACCGAGGCCTGGAGGGTGTGCCTCCACCAGCACGGATTGGCATCACCCTGACGCCCGCTGCCCTCAGCTGGCCCTGGTGCAGGGGCTGAGGTGGCCATCAGAGGCCAGCCTGGCAGAGGGCACTGTGCTGCCTGGGGCAGCAGGCTGTGGACACCTAGCCTGCAGTCAGACACAGCCCCCCAGCCCTGCCCAGCACGGAGCCTGCCCTCAGGCTGCAGGCAGTGGGGGCCAGTGGCTTCTGACTCTGGGGCCCCAAGTTCACGGTGACTCCCCAAGAGCCCGCCCTGGGGACATCCTGACCCTCCCGCCCCCTGCCTGCACCAGCACTGAGCCTTTCCCTGGAGCCCTGGCCCTGCCCTCCTGCACCCCAGCACCCCCAGCCGACAGCCGGGCTGAGGCACCCCTGCAGGTGGAGCCAGGGCCAGGGCCCACCAGAGCCGAGCACAGGTCTGCCTCTGCCACACACCTGCTCCCACCCAGAGACCACCAGGACACCCAGCCCCTGGGGACCTGCCCTTCCCGCCCTGAGGCCCTCGCCCTCCTCCACCCTCCCCTGCCCCGCTCGCCTCTGCCCCGCGTGGGCTGCCCCCTCCCACCAGAGGGACGTCCCATCCCCTGAACTAGTCTGACCACTAGGGACCCTCAGTGGGAACCCCCTCAGCACCCTGGCCCAGGCGCGGGGCACCTAGTGAGCACAGATCTGAACCGGGACGGGCTAAGGCCCGAAGGCTCGTCTCGGTCTGATCACGCAGGGCCGTCCGTCCCTCAGGGGCCACTGGGGCCGATGTAAGGAACCAGCTGTCAGGGGGCTCCTCACAGCTCTGACGCCCCGCTCCCCGCCTCCCCCAGCCTGCAGGAGGCTCCCCTCCCCTGCAGCACCACCTGCTGGCCAGGACCGAGTGCCTCCGACCTGGGGAGCCTGGTGGCAGGCCTGCAGGCCTCCTCAGGCTGTGCCCTGGGCATGGAGACGCAGCTGGGGCGAGGGCCAGGCCGGGCCTCGGGTGCACGCAGGCTGCCAGCCCTGGGCATGCAGGCTGTGCGCTCGCTCACTCTCCCCCGCTGCTGCGGAGCGCTGCACCAGCCCACAGCCTGCGGGTCCTGCCGGCCACCCACCTGCACCCCCTCTCCCCCCTGCAGGCACCTAGGGTGTCACCTGGGTGCCTCGGTGGGCTGGAGACTCGGGAAGGGCTTTGATGGGCGGGGCCTGAGTGCAGGGGAGTGTGCAGGTGTGCATGCCCGCTGGCAGAGGCTGGTGCATAGGTGGGCCTGCCCTGACCCCGTGTCCCTGTCTACCCCTGGCCCTGTTGACCCCCAGCCTCCTGCCCCGGGCCCTTTGACCTCCCGGGCAGCCGTTTCCCAGGGCCCACTGAGGCGGGCACCGCAGACAATGCCAATTCACTGGCCTTGAATGGGAAGCCAAGCCTCAGGGCCAGGACACGGACCCACCTGCCCACAGGCCTGCCTGGGCTTCAGGGCACCCCTCCCACGCCCCTTCCTCAGACCACAGCAGTGCCCGCCGCTGGGCCAGTCAGCTGGGGGTGGCCAGGAGAGGGCGCTGAGAGCAGTGTCAGTGCTGGGTTAGGGTCAGGGCCAGTCCCACCGTCTGGGGCCCTGCCCTCCCAGGTCCCTGAAGGCCCATTGTGTCCGGCGGCTTCCTGAGCAGCCACTCCCAGCAGGAAAGCCATGAGCCTGTTCTGCCCTCTGAAGGGCTGGGCACCCGAGCCTGAGGCTGACGCCGCAGAGCCCTCAGCCCCCATGCCTTGCCAGCCTGGCAGGGGCCCAAGCCTCCCCAGGGACCAGCCAGCCCTCCAGGCACGTAGGTGCTCACTGGTCCCGGAAGCTGGCGGCCATGGGCAGGCACGCCCCACACAGCGCCAGGCTGGGCACTGCCCGTGGGAACAAAGTGGACCCTCAGTGCCCCCAGGGGCCGGGCACACGTGCAAGATGGCTGTGTCCTGTGATGGTCCCCGGCAGGCAGGGGCAGGCCGCGTGGTGAGGTCCGGGGCAGGGCGGCCTGAGCGCCAAGCAGGCCCACGAAGGCACTGCGGGTCAGAGGCCCAGGCCTGAGCAGACCGGGGACCGGGAGGACGCGCACATGACCCTGGTCTGGCAGGTTGTAGCTTTTATTGCTCGGGGAACGGGGTGTCGTTAGGTACAGGGCACTGGGGTTGGGGCTTGGGGACAGGAAGTCGGGTGGGGACCAGCCTGGGCAGAGGGTCAGTGCCCGCTCCTGGCTCCAGGCTGCGCTGAGGTGCCACCAGGGGCGGAGCGGCGTGAGGATGTCCTGGGTCAGCCGCCAAGGAGGACCTGTGGGCGGGACCCTGGGAACTGGTCCCTCTGCGGGGGGTCCGAGCAGAGTGAGTTCGAGTGGACCCGCTGGGACCCTGGAGCCCTGTCCGCTGCAGCCGCCACTGGGAGGCCCCTCCACCTGAGCCTCAGGGTGGGGGTTAGGGAGCGCTCCACACCCCTCCCAGGGCCCATGGCCCTCAGCAGCAGAGCCAGCTGCCAGCCCAGATCTGTGGCCCCCTCCAAGTAGCACCCGTCAGGTGTGCCCCCAGCCCCACTCAGCCTCTGCCCCCCTAGAGCACCAGGGACCCTGAGGGCCTGAGGTGCAGCCTGCTGGTGGGCCTCGGGGAGGGGCAGCTGGTCTTGGGGAGGCTGGACAGCGGGTGGGGGTGGGGCTGACAGGCCTTTTGCCTCTCGGAGGCCTCTGTAGTCTTGGTAGCATCAGGCGGCCATCAGCCTGGTGGCCATCGGCCCGGCGGCCTGCTGGGACTGGGGACAGTCAGGAGTGTGGGCCCAGCTGGTGACCTTGGGCTGTCACTCAAGCCCCAGTCCTCTTGGCCTCACTGGAGACCTGCCAGTAGCCAAGTGGAGCCCAAGTCACCTCCAGCACTTGCTCTGACCTTGACCCCGAAACATCAGAGCAGGCCTCTGCTCAGCAAGGGTCAGGCCTCGTCCTGCTGTCCCGCTCCGAGCCCTGGCAATGCCTACCCTGCAGCCCACCCAGCAGGGCTGAGACGGGGTGTCCTATGCCGCCCCCAGGAGGATGCTCAGAGCCACTGCTGGAGGGGTGCCCCAGATCACTCCGGCAGCAGCAGGGGGACCTGGCCGTGGGCAGAGGTGCAGACGGCATGTGAGTGCTGGGCCTCCCCCCTCCCTGGCCTGGTGGAGGTCACCTGGGGTCAGAGGGTGGCATGCAGATGTGGACGGAGGAGCACGCAGTCTGCAGGTGTCCCTCAGGCCCACAGGTGTGGTAGCAGTGGCCTGCATGGGGGGCTGTCCACAGCCTGCTGGCACCTGCCAGCCGCCGGCTGCTCGCTGGGGCCCTGCCCCATTACCATGACCATGGGGTCAGCCACCACCAAAGCAGGGGCTCCCGCAGCACCTGTCAGCACCGTGTCCTGGGGCGGGTCCCCCACTCTGGGACCTGCTCCTCACCTCACCTCGGGCAGCGTCCCTCACCAGGCCCCTCACCTCGACTTCTGCTTCGGCGCACGCCCGCCCTGTGCGCCAGAACTCCTTCCCAGCCCCCTGTCCGCAGACACGGGCCTCCGTCCCAGCTTGCAGCCTTTGCTGCACCCCAGCCAGGAGATAGGGTGCCGGGCAAGAGGGCAGTGCACTGTCTGCACTGCGGCCACCGCTCCGGGGAGCAGGGAGGTGGGGCCTCGGCAGTCGGCTCCGGTCTCCCATGGCCCGGCTGGCCCCGGGGAGTGCTCCAGAGCAGGGCCAGGCTCGGGGGCCGCCCGCCCGCCCGCCTTCCCTCCCTCTGGACGCCGGGCCAGATCCTGCTCAGATGTGAGCGCCCACCTCTCCTGGCTCAGGCGCCTGGGCTCGGCGTGCAGCTCCGGGTGGCAGGCCCGGCGCGGGAGGGAGCCGAAGACCTCAGCTGGAGCAGAGGGCTAGCACGGCGCTTCTCAGCCCGCGAGCATGGCGAGCAGCCGTGTCCTGGAGCCACCCAGCCTCCACGCACTCGGACGAGCCTCCGGGTCTCCCTGCAGGGCACACGCCGTGCACTGCTCCAAACATGGCGCCCGCACAACGCCGGGCGGGGCGTCCCTCGTGGCCACGATGAGGCTGCGGGGCAGGCGAGGCCACGCTCACACCCTCAGGAGCCAGGGCCCACCGCGGGCGCGGCCGTGCGGTCACACTCAGTAGCCGTCGCCGTCATCGTCGTCACCGTCACAGCCGTAATCTGCAGAGACAGACGGCGCCGCTGAGCAGCTGCAGGTGGGCCCCGGCCCCCAGCCCCCGGCCCCGAGGCTCCAGCACCAGTGGCCTCGGCCCCTCAGGCCCCACCGCAGAAGAGCACTGCTGGGAGCTGAGGCCTGGGGGCCGGGGGCCTGGCTGCGGGCGGGGGGCCTGGGGGCCGGGGGCCTGGCTGCAGGCGGGGGGGGCCTGGGGGCCGATGGCCTGGCTGCGGGCGGGGGGGGGGCCTGGGGGCCGGGGGCCTGGCTGCAGGCGGGGGAGTCTGGGGGCCGATGGCCTGGCTGCGGGCGGGTGGGCCTGGGGGCCGGGGGCCTGGCTGCAGGCGGGGGGGCCTGGCTGCGGGCGGGGGGGGCCTGGCTGCGGGCGGGGGGCCTGGCTGCGGGCGGGCGGGGGGGCCTGGCTGCGGGCGGGGGGCCTGGCTGCGGGCGGGCGGGGGGGCCTGGCTGCGGGCGGGGGGCCTGGCTTCGGGCGGTGGGGGCCTGGCTTCAGGTCAAGGGCCCATTTGAGGCGCTGTGAGGCGGTGGGACCCTATGTCTGTGGGCTCACTCCCGGCACCCCAGGCCTTGTCTCCCAGGGGCAGGTTTGGCCAGTCCCCTCGCACACCCAGGCCTCGGCACCCAGTCGGCCCGTCCAGACGCCCTCCCCGGAAGCCCGCGCTCACCGCTGCCGCCCATCATCTGCAGGGCGCTGACGCAGGGCTCCCCGTCCTCCTCGGCATCGGGGTCCTCCTCCTCGGCGTCCTCCTCGGGGTGGTAGGCCACGGGCCCGCTCTCCACCAGCACGTCCGCGGGCCTCCCCAGGGCACAGCCGCGGGCGGGGGCGTTGGGGGGCGGGGTCTGCAGTGAGGGGGCAGCTGTGGACAGGCTCAGGCCGCCCCCGGGGCCCTGACCGGCCCTTCGGAGCTGCCCCTGCAGCTGCTCGGGGACCCTGGGGACCCCCCTGCTCCCCGTTCTGCTTCTTGACAATCAGGAACGAAGACCCTGAGCCCACCGGGGGGGGGGGGGTGCCCACACCAGGCTCCCCTCTGAGGGCGCTGGGACGGGCCTCGCTGCCCAGAGGCTCTCTGACAGCCCAGGAGACGTGGCTGCAGGCTGGCCAGTGCTGCAGGGCGCCAGGAGGACTCCGCTCTCAGACCAGGCCCTCCCAGACACTCCTCCCGCGCCTGGGGCCTCAGGATCCCCTCTGCCCCCCCACTCCAGCCCCCGCCTCCGCCAACAGCCAGAGGGGCCTGTCCCAGCTCCTCCCTCCGCTGGGCTGTGCTCCCCGAGGCCCCGCCCACACTGTGCACACACACCTCTCCCACAGCTGCCTTCTTAGCTGCCTGGGCGGACACCATTGGCCTCAACCTGAAAGCAAGTACAGGAGGGGGTGAGGGGTGCATGGGAGGGAGCACAGGAGGGGGTGAGGGGGGCACGGGAGGGAGCACAGGAGGGGGTGAGGGGGGCACGGGAGGGGGTGATGGGGGCATGGGAGGGAGCACAGGAGGGGGTGAGGGGGGCACGGGAGGGGGTGATGGGGGCATGGGAGGGAGCACAGGAGGGGATGAGGGGGGCACGGGAGGGGGTGAGGGGTGCACGGGAGGGAGCACAGGAGGGGGTGACGGGGGCACAGGAGGGGGTGAGGGGGGCACGGGAGGGGGTGATGGGGGCACGGGAAGGAGCACAGGAGGGGGTGAGGGAGCACAGGAGGGAGCACAGAAGGGGGTGAGGGGAGCACGGGAGGGAGCACAGGAGGGGGTGATGGGGGCACAGGAGGGGGTGAGGGGAGCACAGGAGGGGGTGAGGGGGGCACAGGAGGGGGTGAGGGGAGCACAGGAGGGGGTGATGGGGGCATGGGAGGGAGCACGGGAGGGGGTGAGGGGGGCACGGGAGGGAGCACAGGAGGGGGTGAGGGGAGCACGGGAGGGAGCACAGGAGGGGGTGAGGGGGGCACAGGAGGGGGTGATGGGGGCACAGGAGGGAGCACAGGAGGGGGTGATGGGGGCACAGGAGGGAGCACAGGAGGGGGTGAGGGGGGCACAGGAGGGGGTGAGGGGGGCACAGGAGGGGGTGAGAGGTACATGGGAGGGAGAGGGTACAGGATGGGAGCAGGAGGGGCACTCTCAGGCCCAAGTCTGCCCCTCTGCTCCCAGCAAACATCTCTGGCTTCCTCCCTCCCGCCCCCCACAGGCCAGGGTGGGCACCCTCCAGGCCCACTGCAGGGACACCCGACGTGCTCACAGCACCCCTCCCAGGCCTGCTCTCCCTCCCCCACACCCTCCAGAGAGCCGGGGCACACGGTCAGCTGCAGGGCCGAGGGGGACACGTGAGCTCAGCGCTCCCCTCGGTGGCTCCCTCCAGGCCCAGGAGCCCCGCCCCTCCTGGCCGCAGGAGGCGGGCAGGCAGGGCGGGGCACAGCTGAGGGAGCTGGAAGCACCCCGAGGACCCGGCTGCACCCACGTGGGCCCAGCACCTTTTGCCCACGCTGGCCGCGGAGTCGGCCCCGCTCCTGCCGGCCGGCTTCTTCCTCCGCGGCAGCCTCCGGGCCGCGGCCCTGTCCTCGGGCCCGGCGTCCGGCCGCGCCGCCCCGGCCTTGCTGTCCAGGTCGCGCAGCACGCTGTAGTTGATCTTGCTGGAGATGCGCTTCTGCTCCAGCATCTTCTCGATGGCCTCGCCGGCCGTGCTCGCCTGGATCGGCTCCTTGCGCTTGCACGGCTTCTTGGGCTGAGGAGGCGCACGCGTCACCTCGGCCCGGGGGGCTGCCCAGGGCTCCGGGACAGAGAAGGGCCTGAGCCCCGCCCCCTGCACCTCCCCCGCCTACCCCCGAGGAGCCACCAGCCCCGGTGCTGGCCACAGGATGGGCGGGGCAGCGGGCAGGCCCCCCGAGGCCGCCAGCCTGCCTGGGCTCCCCTCCCGCCGCCCGCAGCTCTCCACCCAGCCCACCCGCCGGGCAGCGGCTCCAGAGCGCCCACCTTCTGCTCCTTGTAGATGCCCAGCTCCTTCTCCTTGGCGATGCGGGCCTCCTTCTCTGAAAGGCAACGCCGGGGTCAGTGAGGGCCTCCCGGGCGCAGGGCGGGCGGGCGGGCGCCACTCACCCCTCTGCTCCCGCAGGTACTCGGCGTTCTCCCGCATCCACAGCTCAGCCTTCACGCGGGCCTCCGCCTCGTTCAGGATGTACTGGGGAGCAAGCGTGACTGAGGGCGGGCGCACACAGCGGGCCCCCAGGAGGGTGCAGGGACCCCCCCCCCACGGCCCCAGGGGCACCGGAGGGAGGGCAGGTCAGTGCTGCGCCCTCAGGACCACTCACCCTGTCGATCTCCAGGTCGTCGATGCCGCTGAGGTCCAGCTCGCCGTCCCCAGAAGCGTCTTCTAGGGAAGCAGATGGGCAGTGACTCACACCCCACCCCACCCGGCCTCCCGGACTCTGCCTCCTCACCACCAGGGGGCGGCACTGCTGTGCGTGTGCATGTGCGTGCACAGTGAGGGGAGCTACGACCCCGACGCAGAGGGAGCAGGATCTGTCCCCCACGGGCTGCCCCCCACATCCTGGCGTCCTGGGCAAGCAGCCCCCCAGTCAGGAGAGGGCACGACCAGTTCTCCAGAAGCCTGACGGTCCTCAGGTCGTCCCCAACCCGCCAGCCCTTCTGCCCAGCTGGGCCCCCAGCACCACCTGTGTGGCTCAGAGCGTGGGTGCCCTCCTGCCTGCTGCCCCGTCACCCGTGTCCTCTGCTGAGTCCCCTGCTGTCAGCCCACAGAGGCATTGGGGGCGCTCCCCACTGAGGCCCCGCGACCCCTGGGCACCCCAAGGCGCCCCTCGTCCTCAGCGCCAGCCAGAATGGCCTCTCTCTGCTCCAGTGCCCTCTGCCCGTGCCTGCGGGACGCGCACAGAGCCCCTCCGTGGGATGACCTGACAATTTAACTGTCATGCCAGCGCCCCTCCCAGGCCACTGCTGCCCTCGGGCCGGCCATCCTGCCACGCCTGCCACGCCCATGGTGAACCTCAGGCAGCCCAGCAGCTTCGCTGAGCAGTGCTGGGGTCGGTCCCAGCAGAAGAGCAGGACCTGCTGTCGGAAGTGACCTGACAGCACCAGAGCCGCCCGCAGGTCGCCCGTGCACGGGGCCTCCGGGTCACACGGGCAGGGGAGCTGTGGCCACACTCACCGGAGCCACAGGCCAGCCGACAAGGGCCCCAGAGACAGTGGTGCCCTCTGGCACTCAGGGGTCAGCACCCACTGGACCACTGACTGCTCACAGCCACGCTCCTGAGGGGGCGACCCACAGCCCAGCCCAGAGCCCTGCCCGCCCGCCCGCCCGCACTCACTGGGCTCCTGGCTCTGCGAGGAGATGCACTCCCGGATGGAGTCCGAGATGCCCAGGCTGGCCGCGGTGGGCAGGGGCCCGAGCAGGGACTCCAGGGCGGGCGGCTGGCCGCTCCCGCTGGGGCTGCCCGTGGCCTCTGCGCCGCCGGCAACGCCACCGCCCAGCAGCTCCCGGTAGAAGTCCTTGTTCAGGTGGCTGGCCGCGGCCTCCAGCTCCTCGTCCTCAGCATCCTCCTCGCCAAACAAGCTGGCCGTGCTGTCCTCGGCGGCGCCTGGGGCACAGTGCACCGTCAGCCCGCAGGGCCGGCGCCGAGGGAAACTCCCCCCACAGACCGAGCTGCTGAGGACGGCAGCCCCCGAAGGCTCCGTCACAGAGGGCGCCCCGTCCACGGCCCACACCTCCCGCCGGCCGCGAGATTCACACCAGACGCCCCGGAGGAACAGGCAGCTCGAGGGACAGGCCCCGCAGGCAACAGAGGCGGCGTTTGGGCCTCGCTCCCCCAGGACCTTTCCTGCTGCTGCTTAGAGCGTAAGGAGGAGAAGGAGGGGGAGACAGACACCTGTCGCTTGGCTGCCTCCTCCAGGCCCCTGACCAGGGCCAGGGATCGAGCCTGCAACCCAGGTATGTGCCCTCGACAGGAATCGAACCCGTGACCCTTCAGTCTGAGCGCTGACGCTCCATCCACTGAGCCACACCGGCCAGGGCACGTTTGAGTTTGGATGAAGCAAAAGCTTCTTAGAAATGGCGCTGAAAGAGAGTCCACAGAACACCGACAGATCCGACTTCATCAGTACTCAGACACACGCAGGCTGACGGCGAGCACGCGGCTGACAACAGGACGTGTCAAGAGCCCAGCACTCACAACCTGCGAGGACCCCCGTCTGAAGTGGAGGCTCGGCCGGGAGACCAGAGCCGCTGCGGGCGGGCGGGCGGGCGGGCGGGCATGGCGGCCACATGAGAAGCAGATGGGGCGGGTTCTTGGACACGCGCGCTCGCCGGCCTCGGCCCGGACCAGGAGGGAGATGGGGAGTGTTCACAGCGCTCCGTGCCGTCCAGCCTGGTCACCCACTGTCCACAGCAGGCCAGCCCGAGAGGGACCGAAGCTGCAGGCCGAGCTGAGAGACAGGGCGGGACGCAGACTGGGAGGGGCGGTGATGTGATGGGTGACAGGTGATAGTCACCCACGGCCAGCCCCTCCCCACGGGCAGGCCCCTCCCCACGGGCAGGCCCCTCCCCACGGACAGCCCCTCCCCACGGGCAGCCCCGCCCCACGGGCAGCCCCTCCCAAGGGCAGCCCCTCCCCACGGGCAGGCCCCTCCCAAGGGCAGCCCCTCCCAAGGGCAGCCCCGCCCCACGGCCAGCCCCTCCCCACGGCCAGGCCCCTCCCCAGGGCAGGCCCCTCCCCACGGCCAGGCCCCTCCCCACGGCCAGGCCCCGCCCCACGGGCAGCCCCGCCCCACGGGCAGGCCCCTCCCCACGGGCAGGCCTCAGGGAAGCTGCCCCGGGCCCGGGGAGCTCCTCACTGCCAGGACTCAGGCGGCAGAGTGCCACGAGAGAGGCTTCCCTCTCGACATGTGTCTCCTGGGAACAAGCATTCGCTTCCCGGGAGCAGGGCAGTCACATGGGAAGGGCTGGACACTCCAGTGTCTCCACCCGGGCTCGCAGCCGCCCTGAGGGAGGGAGGCCACCGCCTGCCGGGCTGCCGCCCCTCCACCTGCCTCCAGCCTCCAGCCTCCTAGCCCCCCAGGAATCGCTACCCGCTGTTTCACCAAGGCGCAGTGACGCCGGCCGCCACGGGCGTGGCTCAGGAGTGGGCCACAAGCTCACAGGCGTGGCTCAGGAGGGGGCTCAGGAGCAGCCCCGAAACCAAGGCAGCCTGCCCGTCCGCTCTGCTGGCGCTGAGCCGGTGGTAGGTGGGCGGGATGCCACCTGACAGCGCAGCCGTGGTGGGAGGGTGGCTGGGAGCCGGAGAGAGGAGCATGGAGCCTGGTAATAAGACGATGCCAGGCCAGGTGGGAGGACACCCCGGAATCGAGCTCGCTCAGACCGTGGGCGCTCACCCAACAGCCAGCGGGTGATCTCACGGACAGGACCACCGTGCCCCCAGCTCCGACAGCCGAGGCGTGGCCGCAGAAGACCCCATGGAGGCGGAGCCCAGGCCTAGGGCACCACCCATGTGCCCAGCCACAGACACGCAGTGCACGGCTACTGGAGGGACAGCCAGCAGCACTGCGGGATCACAGGTGCGTGCGTAAGGCAGAAGGCACCCCTCGCTCCGGAGCGCCCACTCTCCCGCGGCTCGAGCACCAGGAGAAGCAGGACCTGTGCGGGGAGCGCCGCCTCCCTCGACATCACGCCGCAGCCCGGCCTGCGTGCTCAGCCCGGGCACAGGAGAGGCCTGGCTCAAACACCACCAGAGGGGCGATAAGTCCACGTAAAGCCCTGGTGATGGGAGGCACTAACCCGCCTAGAAACCCCCAGACCTGAGCTACCACGACCGAGAACAAACCGAAAACAAACGTGAACAGAAAACCAGAAGTACCCTAAGGGCCCGGCCGCGTGGCTCCGTGGCTGAGCGTCGACCTATGAACCAGGAGGCCAGGGTTCGATTCCTGGTCAGGGCACAGGCCTGGGTTGCGGCTCCATCCCAGTGTGGGGCGTGCGGAGGCAGCTGACCGATGCTTCTCCCATCGCTGATGTCTCCCCCTCCTCCCCCTCCCTCCCTGACGGCGATAGAAACACGTTCTGTAGAGGAAGCACCCTGCGAGCCCTGCCAGTGCGAAAAGCGCTGTCCAGTGTGCCCAGGGCTGTCGGTTCAGCTCCCGGCCGAGGGCACTCACGGTGTGGACATCCTCCGCCTGCGGGGCCAGAGGCAGCCAGGCGATGTGCCTCTCACCGATGGCCCCCTCCCCTTCTCTCTGAAGAAGACTCGGAGAAAATGCCCTCGGGCAGGAACCACAGCCACAAGCGAGCCCTGGCACAGCAGCTGGAGGCAGGACACAGCCCTGGAGAGGAGCTGGCACTGCCACCCAGACAGAGTGCCCGGGCAGACGCCACCTGCTCTCGGGCCTGAGGCCGGGGACCGGGACCAGGGTGGTTTGTCCGGACGGCTGTGCACACATCCCTGGCCGGGCCCCGGGCCCGACCCTGCTGCTCTGGCCATCCCGGCCGGGGCCAAGCCCTGGCAGGGGAAGGAGGGGCGGACCAGAGAGGCATGAAAACACACAGCAGCTCTGCAGGGCACGGAGGATGCCGGGCCGGGGCTGGCAGGGCGGGCACGGAGGGGCACCGTGGACAGGAAAGGGGTCCAGGGACCTGCGGGCAGTGAGCAGGGCAGGCCTGCGTCGGAGAACAGAACCGAGGGACATGCGCCCAAGCGACGGGGACAGAGGCGAGGGCACTGGATGCTGGGAGCCGCTCAGTGCGGGCTGGGCCTGGGGGCGGGCAGGGACCCGCCGCCCGGGGAGTGAAGAGGCACGGGCAGGGTGAGGGGCGCGCTCACCGTCCCTCGCCAGGCTGGCCAGCGCCCCCTTGGCCTTGGGCCGGCTGTTCTCCAGCTCCGTCTCGATCTCGTCCTGGTAGCTGGAGATCTCCCCTGCAGCAGTGACGAGCAGGAAGTGAGCCAAACCCTCTCCGCCCGAGGCGCCTGGGGCAGGGCAGCTGCTCACCTTCGACCTCCTCCAGTTTCCGCGACAGGACTTGCTCCAGCTGAAAACCGAGAGGCGGACACTGAGCTGAGGCCAGGAGGGACGGATGTCAGCCAGACGCGCGCCTGGGGCCGTTCCCGGCACAGCCGACGCCCGCCTTGCCGGGAACACGCTTCACGGGCTGATCAAGGGCCAGAGCAGCAGGGTCAGGGGCCAGGGTCCCGGCCAGGGATGTGTGCACACCCGTCCGGACAAACCACCCTGGTCCATGCCCGTCGCCCCGAGCGGCAGGCCCGGAAGGGGACCCATGTGTGCCCCCCGCCCCCCCGCACCTCTGTGTGTGTGCACCTCCGTGTGTGCCCCCCCCTGCACCTCTGTGTGTGTTCACCTCCGTGTGTGCCCCCCCGCACCTCTGTGTTCACCTGTGTGTGCACCTCCGTGTGTGCCCCCCTGCACCTGTGTGCCCCCTGCACCTGTGTGCCCCCCCGCACCTCTGTGTGTTCACCTCCGTGTGTGCCCCCCCGCACCTGTGTGCCCCCCCGCACCTCTGTGTGTGTTCACCTCCGTGTGTGCCCCCCCTGCACCTCTGTGTGTGTTCACCTCTGTGTGTGCACCTCCGTGTGTGCCCCCTGCACCTGTGTGCCCCCCCGCACTTGTGTGTTCACCTCCGTGTGTGCCCCCCCACACCTCTGTGTGTTCACCTCCGTGTGTGCCCCCCGCACCTGTGTGCCCCCACACCTGTGTGTGCCCCCCGCACCTCTGTGTGTGCCCCCCCCGCACCTCTGTGTGTTCACCTCCGTGTGTGCCCCCTGCACCTGTGTGCCCCCCCCCGCACCTCTGTGTGTGCACCTCCGTGTGTGCCCCGCCCCCCCCACAGGCTTGCATGCAGACCGCTGTGCTGCCCAGACATGCAGTATCAGGCCACAGAGCCGGGCGCTGACCGGGAGGCACAGGCAGCAGCGCACACAGGTGGGCCCACCTGCTTCGCCCGCAGCTTCCGCTGGCCAGCTGTGTACGACGGGGGGTCACACTCCTCCTCCAGGTCGATCTTCATGAACTCGTCCACGGTCAGCTGACTGGTGGGCGTGTCTTCAAATTCCGTGAGCCTAAGACAGATGCGACAGACGCCCTGCTGCCCCCACAGCCACTGACGCTGGCATTAGGGAGCGGCGTAGCCAGTGCTGGGCCCCGGCCACGCCTGGGACTCCACAGCCCGTCCACCGGCTCAGGTCTGCCCTCAGCCACGCCACCGGGAGCTGGGGGGAGGGCCACTCCCTCTGACCCCCTGAAGACGAGCTCTCGGCAGCTGGTCTGTTTCTTAGTCCCTGCCGCCGCCCAGAGGCCGTGCCAGGGGATTAGAAAGAACTGCCAGCGGGAGAGGCACCTGGTCCATCCGCCTCCGTCCGGCCGTGCGGCTGAGCCGGGGGGCCGTGGCCTCATTGGGCCCTCGTACGTGGATACCGGGCTGTGGTGGAGCTCAGCTTCCTCCCGGTGACAGTCCCTCAGGCCACACCGGACGGGCCGTACCAGACAGGTCACACCGGATGGGCCACACCGGACAGGACACGGTAGCCGCCCTCAGTGCTCGTCGGACCCGCTTGCCTCTGGGGATTCTATAAACCGCCGCCCACTCGGCTGCTCGGAGGGGGCCGCCAACTGCCGACGCCCCAGGCGTGGCCCCAGGAGGAGGGCCCTGGGCAGGGAGAGCGCCCCCTCTGCGCTGGGCCTGCAGGCCTGGAGGAGCCGGAGGAGGACACGGGCTGCCCTGAGGCCCGAGCAGGGACCCACCTCTTCCTCAGCGTGGACTCGCACACCTTGACCACGCTGATGACCTCTTTGACCGTCCTCCGAAAGTCGTGCATCCTGGCTGCCACCAGCAGCGCTGGAAGGAGGGAGGGTGAGGTGAGCAAGCGGCAGGCTGCCTGCACCGGGCGCCGTCCTGTCCGCTGGGACTCACACACTGCTCCGAACGCACACAGTGCACACGAGCTGCCTGCCCTCTGCAGCGGGGCACACAACTAGCACACGTGTCCTGCAGACTCAGAGCCCTGCCGAGAGCACAGCGGCTCTGGCCTGCGTGTAAGGGCTGGCTGGCGGTGGAACTGGGGGGCTGGAGGGCCTGGGATGGGGAGGGCCTGGGACGGGTAGGTCCTGGGACAGGGAGGGCCTGGGACGGGGAGGGCCTGTGCTGGTACACTGATCCTGGTCTGCAAGTTCAGAAGCCAGGCTCTGGATGGAACGCGCCCCGGGCAGCGCTGTGCCTCTGGAGCGGATGATGGGCGCATGGGCCCTGGCGTCCCAGGAAGGAGTGGGCACTGGGCACTGGGCCAAGAGGTTTAGGGGGGAGGGCTCCAGAAGAGGCTCCAAGAGACCCAAAGCCACCTGCGGGCATCTGCTGCCCGGTACAGAGGGCCAGGGGGCAGCCAGAAAGCGGGCGCCCAGCCGTCAGCCCCAGGTCCCGCGCCTGCCCCGTCTGTGGAGGCGCCTGGAGCAGGCAGGAGTCCGAGAGGTCCAGGCGGCTGGGCGCAGCTCTGGAGCCACCCAGCACCCCGCTGCAGTCAGGACGGAGCCCCCCCCGGGCCGCACCTGCCCCGCAGAGGCCCGAGGGGCGCCGGCCCGTGTGCATCCAGTCCCGCTTCATCCGCTGCAGGAGCCGCAGGGCCGTCATGGACACTTCGTGGTTCTTCTCGCCGAACTCCAGCAGGTGGGCGAAGCGCGGGATGTAGAGGCAGGGGTCTGCGGAGACACGCACCTCAGCGCACGCCCTGCCAGCGGCATCGCCCCCCGGCACACGCGCCCCCCAGCACACGCCCCCCCAGCACACACGGCCCCCCCCCGGCACATGCGCCCCCCAGCACACACAGCCCCCCCCCCGGCACACACGGCCCCCCCCCGGCACATGCGCCCCCCAGCACACACAGCCCCCCCCCCGGCACACACGGCCCCCCCCCGGCACACGCCCCCCCAGCACACACGGCCCCCCCCCGGCACACGCCCCCCCCAGCACACACAGCCCCCCCCCCGGCACACACGCCCCCCAGCACATGCCCCCCCCCGGCACACACGGCCCCCCCCCCGGCACACGCCCCCCCAGCACACGCCCCCTCAGCACACGACCCCCCAGCACACACGGCCCCCCCCCCCGGCACACGCACCCCCCAGCACACGCCCCCTCAGCACACGGCCCCCCAGCACACGCCCCCCAGCACACACGCCCCCCAGCACACACGGCCCCCCCCCGGCACACGCGCCCCCCAGCACACGCCCCCTCAGCACACGCCCCCCAGCACACACGCCCCCCAACACACACGGCCCCCCCCCGGCACACGCGCCCCCCAGCACACGCCCCCTCAGCACACGCCCCCTCAGCACACACGCCCCCCAGCACACACGGCCCCCCCCCGGCACACGCCCCCCCCCCGCACACACGGCCCCCCCCCCGGCACACACGGCCCACCCCCCCCGGCACACACGGCCCCCCCCCCGGCACACGCGCCCCCCGGCACACGCCCCCCCCGGCACACGCGCCCCCAGCACACGCCCCCCAGCACACGCGCCCCCCCCTCCCCCCCGGGCCACCCCTCCTGTCCTTCCACCACAGGCTCCCAGGACCCGCACCTGGAACCTGCAGCCCCGACCTCGGGGAGGGGCCCTGACCGCTACCCGCCCCACGCTGGGCAGCGGCTGCTTCACTGACGTGGTGGGTGGGGTGAGGTCGGGCAGAGCTTTTACGTGCTTATTGGCTGGGCTCATCCCCCCCCCCACGCCCCAGCCCCTGCTGCCCAAGGGAGACCAGCTGCTCAGGGGACGCGCACAGGGGCTCCGTGCAGGGACGAGGCTGGACCTCCAGCCTCCACGTACCAAGTGGACATGCTGACCACCACAGCGGCCGGCTGGCGGAGGGTGTGCGGGCCTGTGCGCGGCAAGGGGAGACTGGGGACCGGACTGTCCCAGAGGGCCCTGCTCCGGGGGCTGCTGGGGAAGAGGGGCAGGCTGGGAGGCCAGGAGGGGATTGAGAGCGCATTACGGCCCCAAAAGCAGGCAGAGGGGAGACAGACCGGGCTGTGCTCCTGCCGCCCACGGGCTTTGATGCCTGAGCTGGGCCTGCAAGTCCCTTGGGTTCGAGGCCGAGAGCAGCACCAGCCCCAAAGCAGCGAGGCGACGCCCACGCGGAGCAGCGAGCACTGCCTGGCGGCACAGACTCCACACAGCCACCCGGCCCCACAGGCAGCTGGGGCGCCCCCTGCCCCTCTTCCCGGCGCATAGATAGCAGGTTCGCGTGGTTATCGGAGGCAACTGGTCCACGTTCCTCTCACACCCATGTTCCTGGCTCTAAAACCAGTAAGAACATGTGTCCTCAGGTGGGACTTTTTAGAAAGGCGCTGAGGGAAGGGAAGAGTGTTTTCAGGCCCCTGTCTGATAAAAGCGAACACCAGGAATGTTCACCTGAGAGCCTCTCGGATCGTTAACCCCAGGAACCTGGTTAGAAAGCGGGAGGCGCCCGGGCCAGAGCAGGTGTGACCTGCTGGGCGCACAGGAGCTCACCGAGGGCCGGCCTGTTCCCGGGCGGTGGGGTGTGCAATGAAGCAGCCGGTCACGGTGCACAGGCCCCTGCTTCCCTCCGGTCGGCCCATTACAGACGTTTAAAAAGGAGGAAGGCCCGGGTACAGAGCCCCACTTCTCCAAGGAAGCCGCACGGAGGCGCGGAGAGGCCACAGGCAACGCTAGGTGCTGGGCTCACTGGCGCCGCTCGCAGGCGGCCTGCCCTCCGCCCACAGCAGGCCCGCTGGGCGCGGGCCCACCTGGACGCGGGGCTGGGAGCGCCGGGGACGACGGACCGCCCCGGGGGCGGGGCCGCGGCGCTGGGTGGTGGGGCGGGGCGGGGTGACGTCACCGGGGCGGGGCGGGGCGGGCGCCGTGACGCGCGGCTGCACCCGCGCCCCCAGCGGCGGAGGCGGCGGCGGCGGCGGGAGGGAGCGGCCGGCCGGCGCCGGGCCCATGCTGCTGCCCCTGGCCTGTCTGCACGGCCGGGTGGCGCAGTGTCTGGCCGCGCTCCTCGTGCTGGCGGAGCCCACCCCGAGGCTGCGGCGCGGCCCCCGGACGCCCGGCGCCCCGCCCCCGCGCGCCCAGGCCCTGCCCGGGAAGATGGCCGCGGAGCTGTACGCGCCCGCCGCCGCCGCCACGGACATCGCCAACAGCAACGCCGCCGCCGCGGCCGCCGCGGGCAGGAAGGGCCCGCCCAGCGCCCCGCCGCCCGCCCCGCCGCCGCCGCCCGCGCCCGCGCCGCCCGCGCCCGACAACAACAACTTGGAGAGCCCCAGCTGGCAGTCCTGCCGCCCGACCCTGCGCGAGAGGTGAGCGCCCCGCGCCCCGCGCCCCGCGCCCCGCGCCCCGCGCCCCGCGCCCCGCGCCCCGCGCCCCGCGCCCCGCGCCCCGCGCCCCGCGCCCCGCGCGTGCTTCCCGCCCAGCCTGTGCCTTCCCCCGCAGGAACGCGCTCCTCTTCAACAACGAGCTCATGGCCGACGTGCACTTCGTGGTGGGGCCCCCGGGCGGGGCGCAGCGGGTGCCTGCCCACAAGGTTGGTGAGGCCCCGGCCACTTCCTGCGTGTAGCTCCGGCCCTGCCCCGCGGGGTGCAAGGCCGGGCTCAGGCGGCTTCTCTCCGCACAGTACGTCCTGGCGGTCGGGAGCTCCGTCTTCTACGCCATGTTCTACGGGGACCTGGCCGAAGTCAAGCCGGAGATCCACATCCCTGACGTGGAGCCCGCCGCCTTCCTCATCATGCTCAAGTAGGGGGGCTCCTCTGGCGGGGGGGGGGGGGGGGGGGGGGGGGGGGGGTGGTGTCCGCTGCCCCAGGCGGCCTGTGACCGGCCCCGCCCCGCAGGTACATGTACAGCGACGAGATCGACCTGGAGGCGGACACCGTGCTGGCCACGCTCTACGCCGCCAAGAAGTACATCGTGCCAGCGCTGGCCAAGGCCTGCGTGCACTTCCTGGAGACCAGCCTGGAGGCCAAGAACGCGTGCGTGCTGCTGTCGCAGAGCAGGCTGTTCGAGGAGCCCGAGCTGACCCAGCGCTGCTGGGAGGTCATCGACGCGCAGGCCGAGATGGCCTTGAGGTCCGAGGGCTTCTGCGAGATCGACTGGCAGACCCTGGAGGTCATCGTCACCCGGGAGGCCCTCAACACCAAGGAGGCGGTGGTCTTCGAGGCCGTGCTGAGCTGGGCCGAGGCCGAGTGCAAGCGGCAGGGCCTGCCCGCCACCCCGCGCAACAAGAGGCACGTGCTGGGGCCCGCCCTCTACCTGGTGCGGATCCCCACCATGACCCTGGAGGAGTTCGCCAACGGCCCCGCCCAGTCGGACATCCTGACGCTGGAGGAGACCCACAACATCTTCCTGTGGTACACGGCGGCCAACAAGCCCCCGCTCGACTTCCCGCTCACCAAGCGGCGCGGCCTGGCGCCCCAGCGGTGCCACCGCTTCCAGTCCTCGGCCTACCGCAGCAACCAGTGGCGCTACCGCGGCCGCTGCGACAGCATCCAGTTCGCGGCGGACAGGAGGGTGTTCGTGGCGGGGCTGGGCCTGTACGGGTCCAGCTCGGGGAAGGCCGAGTACAGCGTGAAGATCGAGCTCAAGCGCCTGGGCGTGGTCCTCGCCCAGAACCTGACGCGGTTCGTGTCCGACGGCTCCAGCAGCACCTTCCCCGTGTGGTTTGAGCACCCGGTGCAGGTGGAGCAGGACACCTTCTACACGGCCAGCGCCGTGCTGGACGGCAGTGAGCTCAGCTACTTCGGGCAGGAGGGCCTGACGGAGGTGCAGTGCGGCAAGGTCACCTTCCAGTTCCAGTGCTCGTCCGACAGCACCAACGGCACCGGCGTGCAGGGCGGCCAGATCCCCGAGCTCATCTTCTACGCCTGAGCGCGGCGTGGGGGCGTGAAGGCGCCGTCCTCCAACTCCTGACCTCGGGGTCGCGGCTGGCTGCAGCCAGAGGAATACTCGAGACGCTTCTACACGGCCAGAGCCGGGCTCGCAATCCAGGTGGCGCGGCCTCCTCACGCCCCCTGCACATGGGGTGCTCACTGGATGGAGGGGGATTTGGGGCGGAGGGCAGCCCAGACACGCCAGTGGTGCCCACGCCATGTACTTTGTGGGCTTGGCCATCCCTCCTACCCTCCTAGGCTTTGTTCTGAGTTCTAAGCTTCAGACCTTCCTCCAATTCTAAAACCTGGGAAAAGTCACTTATCTTTTCTCTTGCGTTTTAATAAAGTGAGCCACGCACAGTAAGGACCTGCGGGCGCTTGGCTGCCCAGCAGCGGAGGAGAAACACGCCTGCTCACCACGCTCACTGGTCAGGAGCAAACCGGCCCGGGAAGCCTGTGGGCGCAGACCTGCCTCTGCTGCAGGCGGGCCTCCCCATCCGGGCAGCCAGGACCAGCGCTGCAGCCAGAATGCTCTGGAAAAGGCCAGTCTTGCATGTGGTTCAGCGTCACTAGTTGCTCAGACAAAGCCCTACTCTAGGACGAACTCGGGTTCGAGGGAGTGAGGTGGGCACTCGCAGGGCCCAGGGTCCCACCCCTGAACTCCGGCAGGCAGGAACAGGGAAGCGGCCTCTGTCCTCCATCAGCACTCTCCCTGGGCCATGGCTTTGCTTCTGGGGAAGGTAGCACGATGGGCGGGACCGGGGTTAAGTACAGTGACACACAGCAGAGACAGGGCCTCTTGGGAGGAGAGGGCCTCCCCATCCTGCAGCCCTCCAGCCTCCTGGGCATCTTCCCAGCCCTGGGGACCGTCCTCAGGGTGGTCCAGGCCAGCTCCCCCAGATGCCCATGGCATGGGAAGAGGCCTGCCAGCAGGCAGAGCTCACTGGGCAGGCGGCTGCTCGGCAGTGCTGACGTCCCGCCTGCCCGGGGCACTGGCCGCCAGGCACTTTCCTCAGGAGGTGGGCACAGGTGCCTCGTGCTGCACTGCCCACCCCATGCCCTGAGACACCCTTGTCCACTCTCGCCGAGGGCTGGCTTCAGCGTTTGGTTTTAAGTCGGAGTGACTCACCGCTGAGCTCCCTGTGCTCGCCCTCGCACCCCCTCGCCGTGCCAGGCGCAGCCGTGCCTACCGATGGCGGGCGCGTTGATGCAGAGCTCCCTCGCCAGCAGCAGGAACGTCTTCCCCAGCACGTACACGTTCACCTGCGGAGAGCCATGGGGCGTTCGCTGGGGAACGTCTGCTTGGTTCTTCCCGATGCCGCCTCACTGTCCGGCCTCGGGGAACCCTGTGCGGCCCAGTCCGCCCCTGCCCACGCAGGCCGGGCGCCTTGGTGCCCGTGGCTCCCGCCGGAGGCTCGCTGAGCTGGCCAGGGAGTGGGCCTCGGGGGACGTGAGTAACAACAAAACGAGCGCCGAGCCCCAGGGGTCCCTTCCAGTTGGGAGTCCTACTCGTTTCCTCTAAGGGTCAGCGGGCAGTGCCAGCTCCCAGGCGAGGCCCTCAGGGCGGCTCCACCCGGGCAGCGCAGAACGTCCCCTGGGAACGCTGAGCCTGGCCGCCCGCCCGGAGCTGTTGGTCTGAGCACGTGTCCAGCCTGAACCTGCGCTCAGCACCGGGACTGGTGGGCCCTGGTTCGGCCTAGTGAGTGGCCACTTGCCCTCTCGGTCTGGACACCTAACTGGCTCCCATTTCCAAAGCTGGGAAGTGAGAAGCTACCAGAACACACCCGCCCTGCAGACAGCCCCAAGCCCTTCCTGCCGGCCTTGCTGGGCGGCTGCCGGGTGGAGAGGAAGCCGGGGCTGCCCTGGCGGCTGGCCCGCGCAGCACTGATTCTCACCACCAGTGGGCAGCCTGCAGCAGGACTTCGGAGCCCGTGCATGAGGGCGGCTGGGAGGAGACGGAGCACCCCAGGCACTGAGCCCCGGGGACGCTGGATCTGGGCTAAGCTTTCCCCACGGGGTGGAATTCGTGGGGACCCTGCATCCTCATCCTGTTTCCAATGGCTTCTTTTTCAGGGCCCTGGGTGGGCGTTCGCCATGGGCTGACCCAGGGCACGGGACATGCAGAGCCTCGGCGCTCAGCCCGGCACTGCCGGCCCCCGGGCGTCCGCTGGCTCCTGTTCCTCTCTCTGGGCCTCCCTCCCATCACACTGAGATGAGAGATTCCACAGGAAGATGCTTCCTGGCACCAGGAGGCAGATTCCTCTGAACTGACGGTAAACCGCAGGTTGTTTATGTGAGCCCGGTTCTCTTCTTTCAAAGAATTGCCCCTGCCTAAGACAAAGTCCCCGCTGGGTCTCCACCGGTTCTGAGGCTGGGCCACTGGGCCAGGACAACAGGGACCCAGTCCAGTGCCCCACACCCTCGTGTGTCCCTCACCTGTGGACCCTCCCAACTGGGCCGGCAGCACATGCCCTGCACAGCCCCAAGGCAAAGGGACTCGGAGGGACTTACCTGGAGCAGGTCGCTGAGGTCCAGGAGCATATCTGCAGGAGGGGTCAAGGAGCATGGCACCTGGGAAATGCATGCTCGTGCCCGGGTCCAGGGGGGACTGGCGGCAGCAGGTGACGGAGCCTTCCAGAGGCAGAGGCTCCGCTGAGCCACCAGCAGGACGGTGAGAGCTCGCCAACCAGGTCCCTGCACCAGGGGGCCCTGCCCCGGCACAAGTGTGCAGCAGCCTCACTGTGTGCCTGCGACGCTAGACCGTCCCCTGCCCAGCGCTGTGCTCGAGGGGCAGCTGAGGGGGGGAGATGAGGAGGGGCTTGGCACGGCCCTGTCCTGGCTCTCCGCGGACGATTCAAACACAGCCAGAACAGGCCCTAGTGCACATGTGTCAAACACAAGGCCCGAGGGCCAAATCCATCCCGCCAGGCCTTGCAATGTGGCCCGCACGGCGCTGTCATCACTGCACTCCGCTGCGTTTCCATCACAATGACAGTTTATGACTGTTCAGTAAACCATTCCGCCCGCGATTTAGGCTGGATTTTAGATTTTGGCCCCTTCTCTGATTGAGTTCGACACCCCTACCCTAGTGACTCAGAGCAGGGCCCAGGAACCTGCTCCACCAGCTGGCACTGACCACCAGGGGGCAGACAACACAGGAGCTGCGGTGACTGGCAGCGGCAGTTCTCCGGTGATGTGCCCCACCACAGAGCAGAGGGGAAGGAGCCCGGTTCCGAGGTGTGCCACGCGAGAACGCCCTCTCGCAATCCACGACCCCTGGGGAGTGTGCCACTCTGCTGGCTAGTGAGTGTGCGGACCACTGCTAGGGAGAACACACACAACATTTTAATAAAGTACCGACGTCTAACCTGAGGAATGACTTCTGGGTGAGGGTGATGTCTCAGCAGTGGTCGGCAAACTCATTAGTCAACAGTGCGGCCACCAGTGCCTCGGGGATGTCGGAGCGCTGGCTTCAGCTGGTCCCCCAGGCCAGGCCAGGGACCTGCCTGCCGGAGGGATGACCTGCAAGCCGCGGACCGCCCCAGGTGCCACCGGACGGGGAGGGACCAAGGGAGGTTGGCTCCCAGGGTGTGTCTCGTCCAGCCCCAAGGCCACCCTCTAGTTCACCTCCTTCCCATGCCCAGGAGCCATGCACCCGGCACTCGTCACAAAGTAGAGGCTAACGTGGGCGGAAGTTGGAGCAGATGTTTCACTGAAAGAGGCAGAGCCAGCCACCCAGGAAACCGGGTGTCACCTCCCGGCAAAGCGGTGCCAGCACGGTGCAGCCACAAAACAGCCGCGCCAACCTGGCCACGCCTCACAGCAACCTGCCCGCCCCCCACGGGCGCTGGGAACTGGCCGGACGGTGCTGCCCTCTCCCCAGATGCCCGTTTGCACGATGCACGTCCGTCAGAGCTCATCCAGCCACACAGCGGAGACCCTGGCATCGCTTTGAAGCCTCAAAAGTAAAAATAAGCCAAGCAGGTGCTGGCTTATTTTTACTTTTACTGGGCTCTGAGCGCCACTGCAGGCCTGGGCGTGTGGGGGAGCGGCGCGGAGGGAGGGGGGCAGGGCTGCGGGGTGACAGTGGGCCAGCCTGGGCCGTGCTGGACAGCAAGGATCTTAGAAAGGAGGCTGGAAGTCAGCGTGACCGAGGTCGAGGGCGGCCGGCGCCTGGCTGTTCCCTCTGGAGGAAGCTCCTCTGAGCAGGACCGTCAGAGCCACGTGCTTCCCGACTTGCACCCTCCCCCAGGCCTCCCCCAGACAACAGCCATCATGCTCTGGGCCCACCCTCTCAGGTTCCCCACTAAAATGCGTGTGGCCTGGGTCTTGGACGACTGTCCCCTGCGCAGCCCCTCGGGGACCCCCGGCCAGGCTCGCTGGGACCGAAGGTCTCTGCCGCCCTCCGGTCGCTGCCTGCTCTGGTGGTGGCGCTGAGCGTGCCCTCAGAGCAGAGCTGCACCACCGTGTAGAACGATGGGGAGACACACCCATCGGCCTCAGGCCAGTCCCAAGAGGCCCGCAGACGCCCGCGATTCTCTGAAAGTGCCATCCGCGCCCACCGCGCCTGGTGCCTGCCGCCTCGAGATCATCCCAGACGGCCTCGCCGCACTACCGGGCAGTAACAGACACCACAGGCAGCACTGAGTCAGCACAGGTTCCCCACCAGCGCACAGCGCCACCCAGGAGGCCTGACCTCCAGCTGAGCAGGGCGGGCAGGGCAGGGAGATGCAGCGAGAAAGCAGCGGCCCCTCCTCCAAACCCAAAGGGACCCAAGCGGGAGGGCCCGGAGCACAGGAGCCTCGGGGGAGGCCTGCCCGCGCCGCTGCCCTCTGCAGGGCCCTGGCGCTGGGTGAGCTTTCCTGAGGGCACCGCGCAGCACGGCACCACGGCCCGGGGCAGGACAAGGCCCCATGCGCCCATCCCCGCACACCTGGCGCCAGCCCGCAGAGCGCACTCCACAGAGCCACAGCGGGCCCCCACGGGCCCGACAGGCACTGGGGGCAGAGCGGGCGGAGCCTGGACACAGCCGGGCTGGCGCTCAGACCCGAGGCCACAGGAGGACCTGCCCCGCACGCCTCTCGTCATGGCCCCCAGGAGCATGGCCCCTCAGCGCACGGCTGACAGCAGGGAGACAGGGCAGAGGCCCGAGGGAGGCGCGGCGAAGAAACAGCATGAAACGCCATCTCTCGGAGGGGAGAGGACAGAGCTGGCGGATTAAATCGCCATCACACTGCTCAGGAGAGGAGATCGTCAGGGAGACGGGTCTGAAGAGCCGGGCCCACAGGCCGTGGGCACCCAGCAGCTGGATGCAGGGACAGCGGGCGGGGTGGGGGGACACAGGATTTCCTGGCGTTGCGAGAGCCGTTTCCCGAGCTGTATCCTGATGGCAGTGGACAGCGGGAGCCCAGGAGCAGGCCGGCCGCGGCGCGGTGGGTCCCAGCCTCACCCCGCCGGGCGCACCGGAGGGCAGCGGCCCGGAGCCGCCTGGCGGCAGGTGCGTTTTCCAGGCTGAGGCGCGCAGTCTCCGCGCCCAGCAGCAGGCCTGTCCGTGAGTTCCCGGTCACACACGCTAACCTGGTCAGACGAGGAAACTGTCTTCTAAGCACCAACTTCTAAATGAGTCCAGCACCTAAGAAGTAACCATGGAAACTAGAACATATTCTGAACTGCATGGTGCACCCCAGCTGGTGTTGCCCAGTGGATAGAGCATCCGCCTGTGGAATGAAGGGTCCTGGGTGCGATTCTGGTCAAGGGCACATGCCTGGGTTGTAGGCTTGATCCCCAGTGGGGAGCATGCAGGAGGCAGCCAATCAATGATTCTCTCTCATCACTGATGTTTCTCTTTCTCTCTCTTTCTCTCCCCCTTCCTCTCTGAAGTCAATGAAAATATATTTAAAAAACAAACAAAAAATCAAAACAACAAAACTGCACGATGCTGAACCAAAATCCACCTTTGGGAACTCATGGCCTCACACACTCACATCAGGAAAAACCAACTAGACTCGTGCATCTCAAGGACTGGGAAAATGAAAAATAAAACCCGAAGACAAAAGGGAAGAAACAATCAGAGAAATCACTGAAGTGAGTACGTGTAAATCCGGTGAACAACAAAGCCAAGTGTGGTTTTTAAGACGGTGGGAGGAGGAGCCTCCTACACGGCCGGGGACGTGGCTGCTGGCTGAGCCCCAGCGAGGCCGCCACGGAGCCGGCTCCACGGGCACCAGGAGGCCCGCCGGCGGGGAGAGCCAGCGGCGACGGAGCCCTGGCACAGATGGTGCGCCCACAGCGCCGAGCCCACAGCTCGGCGCATCGCGTGGCACGTGGCCTGCCTCTCAGTGAAGCTGCTCCTGAGGAAGCAGGCGCCCGCTGGCCCCTGCAGGACAGGCCTGACCCGGACGAGACGCAGGACGTCCACCACAGACCGGAGTCAGGACAGCCCCGCCCCAGCAGCCACCCTCTCCCCAACGCGGAGCAGCCTGTCCACACCCGGCCCGGCCCGGCCCCGGGCGCTCTGGGCAGCCGCCCCGCCCGCCGGCTCCGCGGACAGGGGCCCGCCGCCGCGCCCTGGCTGCACTCGGGCCTGCGGCAGCTCGCCGGAGCCCCGGGACGCCCGTGCAGGTGCAGGCGCCTGACGCCGGCCTCGCCCCGGCGGTGGGTGCTCCCGGGCGCTTCCCGAGCACAGGCCACTGCAGCTGCTGCGCCCAACGCCCAGAGGCGCCCGAGGGCGCAGGAAGGATACGCGGCGTGCCCTCGGTGCGGCACACGAGGTAGAGGCAGGCGGCGATCACGTGGGTCATCTTCCGGCCGCGCGTCAGGTGCTTGCTCACGGCCATCTTGAAGAAGTTGAAGGCCGTGTCCAGGCAGTGCTGGTTCAGCTGCAGCTGGCTCCCCAGGTGGTGGATCTGGCGCCGTCCTGGGCACAAGGCGACCACGGTTACCGCTGGGCCCCGGCCCCGCGCGCCGGCCCCGCGCCCTGCACCCGGCTGCCCTGCCCGCACGCGCTCCCTGCACAAACGCCCTGGGCACCCGCGAGCCGCCAACACGCCCCACGCTGACCGGCACAGACCAGGCCCGGGGGCGTGGGCACGGGCAGGCGAGCCCTCGGCCCCTGCGCTCAGGGCCCGCGAAGGGCCGCACAGGAGCGCCCTCTCACGCCTGGCACCCCCACCTCCCTGCCATCCGGGCCGGGCACTAGCAGAGCCCGGTGCTGCGAGGCAGCGAGGCAGCAATGATCTCCACACCCCCCTTCTGAGCACACAACCCCCCAAGCTGCTTCCCCGCCTCCCACGAGAGGCCCTGCACGGCCAGAACAGAGGCCAAGGCCCTGGGTGCCGGTGACGCTGCAGGGTGAAGAGCCGAGTCCTCACCATCCTCACCATCCTCTCCGCTGGGGCCCTCCTCCCCCCCCCTGCACCCCAGGCCGAGCCGGTGAGCAGTGGGGCTCCGCCCGTCCCGCCTCTCGGGGAGCGCTGTGGCCGAGGGAGGGAGGCTAAGGCTCTGTGGTGCCCTCGGTGCTGGCTCGTGGCCCCCAACACACCTGCACACGCTACTGACACGGACCCGCCCATGACCGCTGCCCAGGGTGAGCACCCGCAGTGACCGCTGCCCAGGGTGGGCACCCGCAGTGACCGCTGCCCAGGGTGGGCACCCGGCAGTGACCGCTGCCCAGGGTGGGCACCCGGCAGTGACCGCTGCCCAAGGTGGGCACCCGGCAGTGACCGCTGCCCAAGATGGGCACCCGCAGTGACCGCTGCCCAAGGTGGGCACCCGCAGTGACCGCTGCCCAAGGTGGGCACCGGGGGAGCAGCCCCGAGGGACCAGCCTGGCAGCTGGGGATGAGCTGACTCTACATGAGGGACCCAAGTGGGCACCCCATAGAGCCCCACCCACCCTCACCACACAGCACTGCTGCCAGAGGCTGCCCGCAGCCACACAGCTCCCAGGCCCCAGTTGGGAGGGACCGGCACGGGGTCGGGGTCACAGTCCCACCCCCAGAGCCGACGGGACAGAAAGGCAGCAGAGCCCACGGCCGGCTCCACCCTCCCGTCAGTGAGCCGGGCGGACGCATGCAGCCAGCTCTGCCCCAAGGCCGGCGACAGAGCCGCTGACAGGGCCCACGAGGCCGGCCCGCTGGGCAGATGCCGGGGACTCGAATGCCACAAGGCAGAGAGGGGGGCCCGAGGGGCTCTCTCAGGCCGGGCTCCTCCCTCCGTCCGGCCGCCAGGCGGGCCAGGCCCCACGACTTGGCACCATGCAGTGCGGCTCCGACTGCAGCCTCACCGGAGGTCGCTCGATGGCCCGGCACCGTCCGTGAGCGAGCTCCACCCACCCGCAGGTCAGCCCCGAGGCGCCCACCGCCGCCCTCACGCCCTCCCCGAGGAGCTGTGACTCAGACTGGAGCAGCGGCACGACTGGCGGACTCAACTGCAGCTGCCGGCATGTGCCACTTACACGGGCACGGCGCTGTCAACGACACAGGTCACCGCACCGCCCGCGGTCCCGGCCCCCGCCCGGCCCAACCTGCCCCTCCTGCCCCCAGCCCAGCCTCCTGTCCTCGGCCCTCCTCCCAGCAGGGACGACTGGCCGCAGGCACCTTTGAAAAGTGGACACTCTGCGTCGGCCTGCGGACTGAAAGGTCCCGGGTTCGATTCCGGGCAAGGGCATGTACCTTGGTTGTGGGCACATCCCCGGTAGGGGGTGTGTAGGAGGCAGCTGATCGATGATTCTCTCATCGATGTTTCTAGCTCTCTATCCCTCTCTCTTCCTCTCTGTAAAAATCAATAAAATATATTTAAAAAAAAAAGAAAAGAAAAGTGGACACTGAACCCCTGGCCGGGCGGGCAGAGCACATCCCCAGGTGCCAGGACGCAGGCGCAATCTCTGAGCGCCGGGGAACACACAAGGGGACAGCACACCCGTGTTCCCCAACCTCCCTCTCGCTCTCGCATCAATTAAAAAAAAAAGAAAACAGCTGCCAGGCCAGGCTGAAAGGCGGACCTGAGCCAGCCCGGGGTCAGGCCGGCGCTGCGACGGACGACACCTGAGGAGCCCGTCGTGCCAGCGTCCAGCGCCCGCCGCGGGGCGTGGCTGAGGGTCAGCCTATGAACCAGGGCACAGTCAGGGCACAGGCCCCGATGTGGGCTCACCCCCAGTGTGGGGTGTGCAGGAGGCAGCCAATCAATGCCTCTTTCTCCCTCTCCTTTCCTCTCTCTGAAATCAATAAAAATGTATTTTTTTAAAAAAACTGACAGGAAGAAACAGAAAACATAAGTGGTCCTATTGAAATCTTACTAAAAATTGTCTTATGAACCCAGTAGTTGAGCACTGACCTATGACCAGGAGGTCACGGTTTAATTCCCAGGTGGCAGGAGGTAGTTGATGTTTCTCTCTCATCGATGTTTCTATCTCTATCCCTCTCTCTTCCTCTCTAAAATATCAACAGAAACATTAAATATATACATATGCACACCAACAAGGGGCTCACACCTGGACGGGGGGAAGAACACCCACGAGTCAGCAGAAGGACTGTCTGTCAGCGCCAGGCAGCACCTGACCGAGTGGCGGGCTGCTGGGCGGCGCCGTGAGCACACCAGGCTCCCGGCGGGCACATGCCAGCTGGGGTGCGACCCCTGGGGGCGCGCAGGAGGCAGCCGACCTGTATTTCCATCTCAGACCCATGTTCCTCTCCCTCTAAGAACATAAAAGACGAACATCTTAAAGAACGCACACCAGCTTGTGCAGGGGACAAGGACGAGGCCAGAGGGGTGAGGAGCTCAGCGACCACGGCAGCCACGGCTGCTCACCAGGGAAAGCAAAGCGCGGCCTGGGCGGCCTGCCACCCGCCGGGAAGACGGGCCGAACGCCACCACGCGTGCTCGGGGCAGACAGGGTGCCCAGGACGTGCCCTCGACAGCACAGGCAGGTGCACCGGTGGGCGTGCCCTGGGTCCACTCTGGCATCGATGCCCAAGGACACGGGCGGGACAGCGGGCTCTCCCGCACGGGAGCCCGGTCTGCCCTCGTGGGCCGGGCCTGACTCCCGCGCCCCCACGGCCTTCCTGTCCACACGCGACCCCTACAGAGCGCGGAAACAAACCCCGGAACCCGCTCCCAAACGGAGGGAGGACCCAGAGGCCCAGCGAGGAGGGCGGGGCGGGCGCTCAGACCCGAGGGGACGGAGACCCACCAGCAGTCTCCACCGCGGGGACGGGCACGGCTGGGCACCGGGAAGGAGCGCGGGCACCAGGCCGGCGGAGGGCTGGCGCAGCGAGACGAGGGCGTCCTTCCCGGGGCGGCAGAGGCGAGTCCCCCACCCCGTGCCCCCGTAGAGGGCCCCGATGGCAGGCGAGTCCTGAACCCCTGCCACCGAAGCCCAACTGGCTCTCAGGTCCCTGAGCTCTCAGCCCACAGGCGACGGCAGCGTCTGCAGGACCACGGCCGGCTAGACCACGGCCGGCTGCCCGCCACTCAGGTCTATCATGGAGCTCGGCCCACAACCGACGGCGTGTCTGGTCTTCACAGAGACAGCATGCAGGCCTCACGCAGAGCGGCCCCGATGACCAGGGTTTCGCCTGGCTGCGGGACCGGCCCCCTGCCTCCGCCCTCCCCCCTCCCCGCCCGCAGCTGGGCCCGGGTACCGTTCTGCAGTGTCTGTGCTCTTGACTCCTTTCCAAGGTTCACGTGGAAGCCTCCGCCCAGGGATGGGGCTTTGCCGGCACCTAGAAACCAAATCACACCGTCAGCCCATCGGGGAACGCTGCACCCTCAGCCTGTCAGCACTCCCCGTGGCGCGGCCCAGCTGCTCCGAGGCCTCCTGTGCGGGACCCCCCCCCCCGCAGCCCTCCGGGACGGTCAGAGCAGCCACACACCAGCCCCACGCCAGGCCCGGAGCCCCCTCTCCAGCCGAGCGCAGGGCTGGCAGGTGCACGTGGTGCTGCTGGGCTAACGGTCACCACGGCCCAGTGTCTCCCCAAGGAGCAGGGCCAGGGGTGCCCTCGCCCTCCGCTGGGATCTTTTCCCACAAAGGCCGCTCGCTCCGTCACCTGACCAGGGAGTCACCTGACCAGGGAGTCACAGGTGGGCCTGTGTTCCCAGCAACCCCCAATGCTAATTTCAGGAAGAAACCCCCTCCTCTCCTAACTCAGGGGCATTGCTTTGGACCAGTGAGGACAACTCTGCGTCTGAACGGACAGGAAGGGCACAACCCTCACCCCACCCCCACGGCCATGGCCTTCCGCTGGCCACCACCCTGCCCACTGGCTCAGGCTGAGACGCCGCACCAATGTGTGTGTGTGTGTGTGTGTGTGTGTGTGTGTGTGTGTGTTTAGGGGGGAGGGGACGGGCTCAGCGTTATGCTCAGTGCGATCTCCCAAGCTCAGCTCCTCCGTCTGCAGCTCCCCAACCTGGTTCCACCCCACATCCAAGGCCCAGAGAGGGACGCCCTAGGCCAGAGTTTTTCAACCGCTGTTCCGCGGCACACTAGTGTGCCGCGAGATGTTGCCTGGTGTGCCATAGGTGCAGACAAGACAAGAATTTTATGATTTTTCACTATTTTGTTTACTTAATATTTCATAATAAAGTAATTATAAAATACTTTCTTTGTGTTTATTTGATTCCTATTCAAGAGAATTACTTTATATATAGTCAATATAGGCACAGAGTTAGATTTTTTAACATTTTCTAATGGTGGTGTGCCTCGTGATTTTTTTCATGAAACAAGTGTGCCTTTGCCCAAAAAAGGTTGAAAAACACTGCCCTAGGCTTCTGACCAAATGCCACCTGTGCTAGCCTTACCTCCCACCCCCTCCCTCAACCTCCACCCTCCTCCCTAACCCTCCACCCCCCTCCTTACCTCCCCACCCCTCTCCCTAACCTCCACCCTGCGGGGCCTGCTTCCTGCTTCTGCTGCCTGCCCGTCCCCTTTCTGGGCTGCTCTGGCTCCTAAGTCCTGCTCCTCCTGCACACGCACACATGTGCACACGCGCGCACACACACACACACACACAGGCACATACAGACGTGCATACAGGTGTGCACACAGTGCTCTCTGCATGGTGCATGGCCTCAGTGCATCACCGGCCCCAGGAGAACCGGTTCTCCCTGCCTCACCCTCACGAGTAAGGTCTGTGGCAGCTGGGGGGGGGGGGGACCTGCCTGCGGAACCAGCCTGTATCTATTACTCAACAAGCAGCACCCGATTGGTTCCAACAGATCCGCCTGCAGAGCATGCTGGTCCTCTCGCCCTCAGACGCTCAGATGGATGCCCTCTCCCTGCCCTCACTTCACAGTCATTCCTAGAGCAGCTCCAACAGCTGGAGGGCACAGGCCCAGGCCGGGGCTCGGCGCCCCCTTGTGGGCAGCAGGGGAGGGATGGCGTCTCCTCTGGGCTCCCAGTGCTGGGCCTCTGAGCGCAGGGCCCACAGCAGCAACACCCCCCACCTCCCCCCAACCCCAAGAACGAGAGAGGCAGGGCCTGAGCACCCGGAGAGCCCCACACAGCACCCCTGCTTCTCTTGCACCCCGACTGACCCTGAGGGCGGGAGGCACCCAGGGGCCCACAGTGCACGGACACGGACAGACGACAGACGGCGGTGAGCAGTGAGCGCCCCGCAGTGGCCACAGCGGGCCCTCCTCTGGACGCAGCCGCCATGGAGCCCGGCTGCCCACGGAGCCCGGCTGCCCACGGAGCCCCCACGGAGCCCGGCTGCCCACGGAGCCCCCACGGAGCCCGGCTGCCCACGGAGCCCGGCTGCCCACGGAGCCCCCACGGAGCCCGGCTGCCCACGGAGCCCCCACGGAGCCCCCACGGAGCCCGGCTGCCCACGGAGCCCCCACGCCCGGGTGCCCACGGAGCCCGGCTGCCCACGGAGCCCCCACGGAGCCCGGCTGCCCACGGAGCCCGGCTGCCCACGGAGCCCCCACGGAGCCCGGCTGCCCACGGAGCCCCCACGGAGCCCGGCTGCCCACGGAGCCCGGCTGCCCACGGAGCCCGGCTGCCCACGGAGCCCCCACGGAGCCCGGCTGCCCACGGAGCCCGGCTGCCCACGGAGCCCGGCTGCAGAGCGAGCTCTGAGAGGGCCTGTGTGCGGCTGTGGGGGACGCGGCCCCTGTCTGACAGCCCTCAGCCGGGAGCTCAGCGGGCCACAGGCTGGCCAGGCAGAACCTTCCAGCTCGGGGCCTAGGCCCTGCTCCGACGCAGCCACCAGCCAGCTGGGCCGGGAGCCCCCCTGGGTGGGCACATGCCCGGGGAGCAGGGGCGGGGGGGGCAGAGGGGGGAAAGCACCCTATCCCATCCACTGGGGGGTCACCCTCACAGCCTGTGGGCTTCACGATCACACCTGGGACGCTGCTAGGCCTTGGGGACCCCGTGGCTGTGGAAACCACGGCAGGCTTCCAGGAAGAGGGGACCCTGGGGAAGCATGGCTGTCCTGAGGCCCTCAGCCTGACGGCCCGGCACACGGACGGCCCGGCACACGGAGGGCCCGGCACGAAGCCGAGGAGAAAAACCAGTGACGCCCACAGCCCATTCTAAGAGAGAGAGCGAAGCGAATAAACTCCTAAAAGGAGAGACGGCGGGAGAGGGAGCACCCAGACCCCAGTGCCAGGCAAGGGACCCACTGCAGACCTGGGGCGGCGGGGGCCGGGAGGGAACAGTGCCGGCAACTCCACCTGCGAAGACTCAGACCAGGGGGCCAGACCCCAACCCCAACCCCACCCCCCCACCCATGGCGGCGACCGCCCTGCCCTCAGCTGGGACCACCACGGGAGAAACGGACTCTGCAGCTGGAAGCCTGACAGGAGCCTCCCACCCCACAGCCCAGCGAAAACACCCAATGCCACCGCCTCCTCCAGACAGAGCAGGCCCTCCCCCACGCACCCCCGGCACTGCTCACAACCAGAGCACCACAGGCCCACAGCGCGATGCTCCACAAGAACAGAAACATGAAACCTCAACAGTGTCAGCAGATCCAGCCCAGCCGTGAGGCTCAGGTCAGGTTCGATTCTCCGTGAGGCCCACGCCCAGGCTGCAGGCTCCATCCCCAGTGGGGGGTGTGCAGGAGGCAGCCAATCCATGATGTTTCTCTCTCATCATTGATGTTTCTCTCTCTCTGAAAATCAATAAGACTTAATTAAATGTACATATTAGCCAATCTATCCAGCAACTCATACACAGAATTATACCCCATGACCATGTGCATTTACCCCAGAAAACCATGACTATATCAGTTGATAACAGAAAAACAGGAAAATTATCTGACAAAATTCAACACCCATTCATGATAAACTCTCAGCAAATCAGAAAAAGGTCCTCAACTTTACAAATAAAGAGCACTGTCCCAAAACACCGAGGGTTAGGGTTCGGTCTCTGGTCAGGGCACATACAAGCATCCACCAATGCTGCAGGCACATCCCCGGGTGGGGATGTGCAGGAGGCGGCTGGTCGATGTTTCTCTCTCATCGACGTTTCTGGCTCTCTATCTCCCTCCCTTCCTCTCTGTAAAAAATCAATAAAATATATTAAAAAAAAAAAAAAAAAGAATCCACCAATGAATGCATAAATAAGTGGAACAACAAACCCGAGGCAGGCCCAGGAAGGAGAGTCCTGCAGCACAGGGCCCTGGCTCCGGGCCCCCCTGCGCGAAGGAGCCTCGCCCGCCCCACACCGCGAGGAAGGAAACGGAAGCGGCCACAGGTCTCACTGCGGAACCAGCAGACACGTGTGGGAAGAAAAACACAGCGACCTGTGCAGAAATGTCCAGTCTGGGCCAGGAAAAAACAGCTAGACTGCGGAAAAAACGTCCAACTCTCAGCCAGGCCGGGGTGGCTCAGCGGTTGAGCTTCCACCTATGAATGCAGAGGTCACCGGCTGACTCCCTGCCGGGGTTGAAGGCTCCATCCCCAGTGTGGGGCGCTGCAGCAGCCAATCAAGGCAGCTGACCCAGGCTTCTCTCTCAAATCAACAAAGAAGAAAGTTTAAACTTTTAGTCAGAATGTTAACATTCTGCTTTGCAAATCACATAGTCAACAAGGGATTTAAAAAAAAAAAAAAAAAAAAAAGGTCATTACACATTCTACTTCCAAGGTCTGCAAACTCATCTGTTAACAGAGCCAAATACCAACAGTACAATTGAAATCACTTTGGAGAGCTGGAACCGGTTTGGCTCAGTGGATAGAGCACCAGTCTGCGGACTGAAAGGTTCCCGGTTCGATTCTGGTCAAGGGCATGTACCTTGGCTTCGGGTAAGGGATGTGCAGGAGGTAACTGATGGGTGTTTCTAACTCTCTATCCCTCTCTTTTCCTCTCTATTAAAAAAAAAAAAAAAAAATCAATAAAATAATTTTTTTTTTTAAAGATTCCTTTGGAGAGCCAACTTTTTAAACGTAAACTTTTTCTAACGCCACTTCTTCAAAACAGACTCAACCAGGCCGTGGTATTTTGTGGAAGAGCCACACTCAAGGGGCCAAAGCGCCGCATGTGGCTCGCGAGCCGCAGTTTGCCGACCTTGAACGTAGACTATGTAAAGACCGTTCAAAAGCTCAACTGCAACAAAACCAACAAGAATACACAGAGCGAGCCGGGACCGGACAGACAGGGTGGGGGGCCGCGGAACATCACGTGCACGCGCCCCCCCAACACGGAGCACCCGGGGCGGCGGACACGGCGCGCCGGCCGTCGGTCAGTCCGTGGGAACGGAACCCAGCGGCTCGCTGTCCCGCGACCCCGTCCCTGGGAACCGCCGCGGGAGGGGGAGCGCCGTCCCCACAGGAGCCCCCCACGGGCTGTCCGCACCCCGTTCGCAGCCCCAAAACGGGAGGGCGCCCGGCTGCGCTTTCTGCGGCCAGCGGCGGCCAGACCCGAGGGGACGGTGGCCGGACCCGACGGGACGCTGCCCAGCCGGACCCAGCGCTGGCAGCGCCCCCTGCTGGGCGAGCCTCCGGGGCACCGGCCGGGAACCGACGCCTCCCCGAGGGGGCGAACCTCCAGTCCCGTCCCGGGCACCACAGCGTGGCCGCGCGGCGGTCTCGGGGCGGACGCGCCGCTGCCCCCAGCCCGCAGCCGCCGCACGTCGCCCCGCCCCCCGGGCTGGAAGTTCCGTTACGACCCCCAGATCCGGCCGCAGAGCTCGCGGCTCCCCGCGCCCCGGCCCCGGCCCGGACCTACCGTCCAGCGACACGAACTGGCCCACGGCCGACGAGCCGCCGCCGCTGTTCTCCACGAACTGCACCTCGGACACGATGATGTTGTCCTCGAGCACCGAGCCGCAGCCGGTGCACACGGCGTCGCCGCGCGCCGCATCCAGCTCGATGTCGGTGCCGCCGCAGCCGCGGCACACGCGGCCCGTCATGCCGGCGGCTCCGCGGGCCCGGCCCGCCGCTCCGGCCGCCTGGCCCGCCGCTCCCGCCGCCCGGTCCGCCGCTCCGTCCGCCCCGCCGCCGCTGCGCCCGCGCCCAGACTCTCGCGAGGCTTCTTCTGCCGCCGCGCCCGCCGATTCGCAGCGGCAGATTCGTCGCGCCGTCAGCAACGGCCGCGCCTGACGGACGGAGACGGGCTCTGGGCCCGCGACGGACACACGACGACTCGAACTCGCGACCCCGGAACCCCAGCGCGGCCACCGGCCAAACACAGCGAACTAGCAGGCCTCGCGCCGCGCGACGGCTTCGGAAGGAGGGGCGGGGCCTGGGTGTGAGCGCGGCCTGTGACTGGACGGGGGTCTGGAGGCGGGGTTCGGGGCGGGGCCAGAGTTGTGGGCGGGGCTTGGAACGGTGGGCGAGCCGTTAGTGGTGAGCGCGGCCCGTGATTGGACCGGGAGCAGTGGGGCGGGTCAGGGGCGGGACCAAAGTGGTGGGCGGGGCTCGGACGGGCTTGGGGAAGCAGAGCATCTGTGCTGGCCCGTCGGGCGTGCGGCTCTCCCGGCTCCGGGAGCTGTTCCTGTGGCATCCCTGCACCCCCGTGCGACCCGGTCCCTGTCGTCGGTCCCCACAGGACTCCCGCCACCTGCGGTTACCCGTGACAGTTACATTTCGTGTCCCCCCACCCATGCTCGCCATTCTCAGTGGTCCCATCACCCTTGACGGTTCTGGAAATAACCCTAAAAAGAAATGTGCAACAGAAACCACTTGGCTCAATGGATAGAGCATCAGCCTGCGGACTGAAGGGACCCCGGGTTCGATTCCGGTCAAGGGCATGTACCTTGGTTGCGGGCACATCCCAAGTAGGCGGTGTGCAAGAGGCAGCTGGTCGGTGTTTCTCATCAACGTTTCTAACTCTCTGTCCCTCTCAATTCCTCTCTGTGTAAAATCAATAAAATATATTTAGAAGGGAAAAAAAAGAGAAATGTGCAAGATTGTATTTTTTTTTAATTTTGAGTCAACTATAGGAGCTGATGGGAGCTGAAACTAAATCAGAAAGCTGAAAAGACAGGAACTCTCCACGATTCTGCGGTAAAGTCGATTGAATCCCTATCATAGGACAAGGAGATTTTCAGATAACATGCTGAGCTGACCCTCAAGGCAACACACAAGAACATTCTAAAAGACGATGGAGGCCTGGCTAGTGTGGCTCAGTGGTTAAACCCATGAACCAGGAGATCATGGCTTGATTCTCGGCCAATGGCACCTGCCAGGGTTGCAGGCTCCATCCTCAGTAGGGGATGTGCAAGAGGCAGCCGATTGGTGATTGTCATCATTGATGTTTCTATCTCTCCCTCCCTCTCTCTGAAATCAGCGAAAACATATTGAATAAGTAAATAAATAAGGAAATCAAGGAGAGCACCTCACTGGGTGGCCCTGTAGCAGTGCAGGCAGCGAGTTGTGGGGAGCAGAGAACCACTCTGGAGGGGAGGGGAGGTTGGAAGGGGCTGGGGGCCACAGAAGTCCGCAGTGCCAAGAGGTGCCATCGAGTGTGGGGGGCTGGACCAGCATCCCCCCGAGGGTGGCGTGGTCAAGCTCCCGGCTGCCTTGGGAGAGGGGGGCGCTGGTGGGAGCAGGTGGGCAGCTGGAGGGGAGGGTGGGGGTGGCCTCAGACAGAGCTGGAGGCTGGCGGTCAATGTCTTGGGCACTTTAAAGACTCTCTTGCTTCCATTACTTCATTGCATCATTTTTATTGCACTTTGAAGAAAATGTACCTTTTTTCTTCTGGATGCTTTTTTTTTTAAGTACTTTATTGATTTTTTTTTACAGAAAGGAAGGGAGAGTTAGAAACATCAATGAGAGAGAAACATGAATCAGCTGCCTCCTGCCTGCAATCAGGGTATAAGCCCTTGACTGGAATCAAACCTGGGACCCTTGCGTCCGCAGGCCGATGTTCTATCCACTGAGCCAAACCAGTTAGGGCTCTCTGGATGCTTTCAAAACTTCTGTTTTCAGCAGTTTGGCTGGAAGTTCCTAAGTGATTTCCTTGTGCTGATTACAGTCATGTGTGTTTGCACGGTTCTCCCCACTCCTCCTGGGTTCCACGTGCAGCTGTGTTAGGTTCTTAGCACACCCCCAATGCCTCACCTCTGCCTTTTCTCCTTTTCGCCTCCGTGCTTCCACCTGGGTGTTTGTTTGTCTTTTTAATATTTTTTTTTATATTCTCATTGATGTCAGAGAGTAAGGAAGAGGGAGAAATAAAAACATCCATGATGAGAGAATCATGGATAGACTGCCTCCTGCACGCCCCCTAATGGGGACTGAGCCCCCAACTGGCACGTGTGCTCTGACTGGGAATCATATATTCTAGAGGCCCGTTGCATGAAAATTCATTCAGGCGTCCTCAAACTTTTTAAAGTGGGGGCCAGATCACGGTCCCTCAGAGAGCTGGAGGGCAGGACTATATGAACTACTAATTCCTACTGTAACACCTCAGCTGTGCTCACTGCCCAAAAAACCTGGCGGGCCGGATCAGACTCCTCTGCGGGCTGCATGTGGCCCGCGGGCCGTAGTTTGAAGACCCCTGCGCCGAAACTGGTTTGGCTCAGCGGTAGAGCGTCGGTCTGCGGACTGAAAGGTCCCAGGTTCGATTCCGGTCAAGGGCATGTACCTTGGTTGTGGCACATCCCCAGTGGGGGGTGTGCAGGAGGCAGCTGATTAATAATTCCCTCTCATCAATGTTTCTAGCTCTCTATCCCTCTCCCTTCCTCTCTGTGAAAAATCAATAAAAAATATATTTTTAAGTCAGTAAAATATATTTTAAAAAACAGTCCACAGAAATAAATGTATTTGAAGAGTATATATAGATATAAATTAAAAACCACTTTCCTGGCCCTGAAAGGACGGTTTGCAGGGGATCCTCACCCAGAGACTCCGACACACATGGCGCTCGCTGCAGGGTTAGCGGCCAGGCAGCCGGTGGAGGCTGAGCGCCAAGTTCTCGTGCGATGAGCCCCCTGGGTCCTGCCCTGGAGACGCGTGTCTGTAAACAGAACCATAAATCAAGCGACGCTTCGTTCGCGGAGGTCCGTGGTGCGGACTCCCCTGGGGCCAGCTCCGGGGCCGGGGCGGTCCCTACGAGGGAGCCGGGCGGACGGGCCCCCGCCCCGGGCAGCACCGCAGGCGGGAAGACCTCGGGGCGCGGGGCGTCCTAAATGTGCTAAGATTGTCGGAAGAGGGCTGTGGCCTGCCGTTTTGTGTTTGATCGTGATTTCTAGTTTAGTTTGTAGTGGTGGGTGTGAGGGGGGCGCCTTTTGCAGATCGTCAGTGGTGGTTGACTTGTGAGAGTGAGGACGTCCTCAAAGCCGTTCTTTTATGTCGGTGGCAATCCCCCCCACCCTGTTTTGCTGGCCCAGAGGCCCTCCTGGCTCCAGGACGAGAAACGATTTTTTTCAATTTTTAGAGATTTTATAGTTTCATACTTCACGATTAAATTTCTGCTCCATCTGGAATTTATTTTGGTATAAGGAGTGAAGTAAAGATTCAGCTATAAAAAAAATAAAAAATAAAAAAAAAGTCTGCCAAAACCGGTTTGGCTCATGGGTAGAGCGTCAGCCTGCGGACTGAGGGATCCCTGGTTCGATTCCGATCAAGGGCATGTACCTTGGTTGCGGGCTCATTCCCAGTGGGGGGTGTGTAGGAGGCAGCTGGTCGATGTTTCTAACTCTCTATCCCTCTCCCCTCCTCTCTGTAAAAAAATCAATAAAATAATATATATATATATAATAAAAAAGTCTAGCCCTAGCTTGTTTGACTTAGTGGATAAAGCATCCGTCTGTGGACTGAAAGGTCCCCGGTTTGATTCCAGCCAAGGGCACATGCCGGGTTTTGGGCTTGATTCCCAGTGGGGGGCATGCAAGAGGCAGCCAATCAAGATTCTCTCTCATCTTGGATGTTTCTATCCCTTTCTCCCTCTCCCTTCCTCCCTAAAATCAATAAAATATATTAAAAAAAAAAAAAAAAAGTCCAGTCCTGGCTGGTGTGGCTCAGTTGGTTGGGTGTCATCCTGTGAACCAAAACGTTTCCAGTTCAATTCTGGGTCAGTCAGTGTTTTGGTGTGGTTTTTTTCCCCACATTGATTTTTAGAGAAAGTGGAAAGGAGAGGGAGAGACTGAGAGAAATACTGAAATGAGAGAGACACATCAATGGGTTGCCTTGCCCAGGCCCCGGACCAGGATCCGGAGCCTGCCACCTAGGTACATGCCCTTGACCAGAATCGAACCCGGGACCCTTCAATCCACAGGCTGTGGCTCTAGCAACTGAGCCAGAAGGGTTGGGGGACCCGCTTCCTACTGCGGGAACGGTGTCTCTCCTCCCCCTGGGATTGGAGCTGGATCCTGACCGTGCAGGGGGCTCCGCCCTGCGCCCTCCACTGGGAGAGCCGAGGCATTAATTCATTTAAAACGCGGCCGGGAGGGCACCCCGACCCCGAGCAAAGACTTCAAGGTGCCCTCCAGGGATTCTTCTTGAACTGAGTTCCTGCTGGGGATTTGTTTTGTTTTTTTAAATATATTTCATTTTTAAAAAATATATTTCATTGATTTTTTTTTTTTTTTTTTTTTTACAGAGAGGAAGGGAGAATGAGAGAGAGTTAGAAACATTGATCAGATGCTGCCTGCACACCTCCTATTGGGATGTGCCTGCAACCAAGGTAATGCCCTTGACCAGAATCGAATCTGGGACCTTTCAGTCCACAGGCTAATGCTCTAACCACTGAGCAACACCAGTTAGGGCCTAAGTTCCTGCTTTAAAGAAACAGTCACCTTGCCGGGACTGGTTTGGCTCAATGGATAGAGCGTCGGCTTGGGGACTGAAGGGCCCCGGGTTCGATTCCGGTCAAGGGCATGTACCTTGGTTGCGGGCATATCCCCAGTAGGGGGAGTGCAAGAGGCAGCTGATCGATGACTCTATCTCATTGATGTTTCTAACTCTCTATCTCTCTCCCATCCTCTCTGTACAAAAAAATCAATAAAATATATTATAAAAAAAAAGAAGAAAAGAAACAGTCACCAGCTCACCAATGGACACAGACAACAGGGCGGGGGGGGGGGGGGCATGAGTGAGGAGGATGGGGTGGGAGTAATGGGGGAATAAGGACACATGGGTAACACCTTAATCAATAAAGAAATTAAAAAGAACAGAAACAGCCACCAGTAGGACAGGGCGTGCTCCGCACATTGGGGGAGGTCACCCATGCCAGGTTCACGGGAGGGTGTCCTCCCGCTGGCACAGACGGCACCTCCGGGACCCAGAGGCACGGAGGAGGGCGAGCACCGTCTTTTCAAACACAGAAGGAGCCCATTCCAGTGAGAGTTCCCGACTGTGTCCGCCGGGGCTTCGGAAAGGGGAGGCCTCACCTCACCGCCACCGTCTGGTGCCCACACAGTCCCCGTGGAAACACACACCAACGCCGCCCCGCACAGCGTCCCTGCCTCGCACAACGGTTTACCTACTTAATTTTTACCTCCTACTGGGGATGTTCCCGCAACCAAGGTACGTGGCCCTGACCAGAACTGAACCTGGGACGCTTGAGTCTGCAGGCCAATGCTCTATCCCCTGAGCCACACTGGTTTCTAATTTTTTATTTCAGAGAGGAAGGGAGAGGGAGATAGAAACATCAGTGATGAGAGAGAACCGTTGATCGGCTGCCTCCTGCACGTCCCCCACTGGGGATCAAGCCCGTAACCTGGGCATGTGCCCTTGACCAGAATCGAACCTGGGACCCTTCAGTCCACAGGCCGATGCTCTATCCATTAAGTCAAACCAGCTAGGAGCTAGGATTGTCTATTTAATTGTTTTAATATATGGATTTTATTGATTTTTTTTATAGAGAGGAAGGGAGAGAGAGAGTTAGAAACGGATTCAGCTGCCTCCGGCACACTCCCTACCGGGGATGTGCCCGCAACCAAGGGACATGCCCCTGGCCGGAATCGAACCCGGGACCCTTCAGTCCACAGGCGGACGCTCTACCCATTAAGCCAAACCGGCTAGGGCTATCATTTAATTTTTTTGGAAATGTGTTTTTGTTGATTTCAGAGTGAGGAAGAAAGAGGAAGAAAGAGAAACATCAAAGATGAGAGAGAATCCTGGATCGATCAGCTGCCTCCTACACACACGGCCTCATGCCCCGGGCCTGACCGGGAATTGAACCTCCACCTCCTGAGGTTCACGCTCAACCACGGAGCCACACCAGCCCGGCGGGCGGTTAGGTATTTTCACCGTCCTGGTGCCCCGGGCGGGGGGAGGAGCTCTGGGCAGACTGTGACGGGCCACCTCCCCAGCTCCTCTCTGTGCCTCTGTTTCCCCAACCGTCAAATGGGGACGGGACCAGGCGGCTGTGGCCGGGACAGGCTCCCAAGGGTGCCTGGTGCGGAGGGGCGGCCCGGCTCCCCCGGGGCCGCCTGCCAGCAGCCGGCGGTGTCAGGCCCCCACGGGCACAGCCAAGTCACCCTCATCTCCTCGCTTGACCCCCGGTGTCCTCCGGCGAGTGCGGTGCCGGTGCACCCAGACACAGTCAGGCGGCCGGTTCACGTGGCCGCGGCACTGTCAATGGGTGTCTGTCCCCCGGTGTCACCACTGGCCACCCGCCCCGGCCAGGGCCAGCCGCCCTCTCCTGACACCCCATCTCGTAGGTGCAAGACCCACAGGTGCTGGGGCAGGAGCAGCCATGGAAGGCGACACCGTCAGCTGGCGGAGGAGCGCCCCCCGAGCAGCCAGCTGCACCCCCAGAGGGGCAGGCGCACGTGGGAGACACAGCTCCCCTTGTTCTCTCCAGCGCGCCCTTGGCCAGAGCAGCCGCAGCTGTTTTCCCTCCAGATACCGGGTTCCAGCTGGAGGCCGGCGGGCGGGGCCGGCGGGGATGGGACCACGCGGGTTTATTTCAGTAAAACTGTTTGAGGCCGCAGGACACATACGGGGGAGCCGGGACGAAAGTAACGGTGACCCGGGGAACACAAAGCAGCGGAGGCGCCAGGAAGCTCTCCCTCCCTCCATCCCGGCCCCCGGGACTGACCAGGCCCGCCCGAGGCTGGGGGGCCCCCCCAAACCTAGCGGTCCTTTCCTCGGCCCTTCCCGCCTGCCCGCCCAGGGGGCCCGCGGGCAGCCCTGCCATGGCTTCCGGCTAGCCCGCTCCCCAAGTTCCCGGGAGCCCGGGCCCGGGCTGCCCCGCACCCAGACACTCCCAGTCTGTGGTAAAAGCGGCAGAAGGGGCGTCGCTGGGTGAGGAGGAGGCTTGGGCGGCAGAGGACACCCCGGAGGGGAGGCACGGAGGCTCGATCCCACACCCCGAGTGCGGGGTGCCCGGGGCTCCGCAGGCGGAAACCCCTCCGGCGGCGAGGCTGTGCCGCCGGCGCCCCAGGTCCTCCGGCTGCACCGCGTCCGCAGGCCGTGCGCCAGGCCTGGCGGGGGCCGGGGGCCGGGGCCCAGCGGGCTGGGGGTTCGGGGAGAGATGGGACGGGAGGGCGCGGGCGGACTCCGGGACGCGCCGAAGCCCGGGCTGGTGCGGGACCACGCCTGCTCCGAGGGGCGTGGGACTGCGGGGCCCAGGTCTGGGAGGCGCGCTCGCCGGCGCCCCCGCGGGCGGACCCAGCGCCCCTCGGCCCGCGGCCGCTCCCGGGGGCGGGGCGGGGCGGGGCGGGGCGGGGGCGGGGCCTGTGCGCAGGCGCGGGCGCGCGCTCCCGCGGGAGCGGGCGGAGTTCTCGCGCGGCGCCGGCGGGGAGGGCGTGCGTCACCGCACTTCCGGAGGGCGCTCGCGGGCCGTGATTGGGCCTAGGGGGGTGCGCGCGCGCCCGCCCAGCCAATCGGCGGCGGCGCCGGCGCGCGGGCATGGCCCGGGGGCGCGCGGCGCGGTCCCGCCGGCGGGGCGCGCGCGAAGCTGGGCGGGGCGGCTGCACTTGGTCGCCGCCCGCGGGCCCGTCCGCCGCCCGCCCGGCCGCTCCAGCCGCTCGGCCGCCATGTGACCGCGCCACCGCCCTCCGCGCGCCCGGCCCGCCCGCCGCCCGCCGCCGCCGCCGCGCGTCCGCGGCCGGGCCGCAGCCCCAGACCGCCGAGGAGCGGGGGGCCGGCGCCATGGCCGAGCGGGGCCGCCTGGGCCTGGCCGGCGCGCCCGCCGCGCTCAACACGCCGGTGCCCATGAACCTGTTCGCCACCTGGGAGGTGGACGGCTCCAGCCCCAGCTGCGTGCCCAGGTACCCCTGCCGCCCTCCCGGCGCTTTGTTCCCGCGCGCACCTGCCGGCCGCCGGGCCCCCACCCGGGACCGGCCCCCAGGACCTCGCACCGGCGCCCCCACCGGGGCCTCCCCGGGATCTCCGTCTGGGACCTCCCCCCGGGACCGGCCACCAGGATTCCACCCGGGACCTGGCGCGCGGGCTGCGGCGTCTGCGCCCCTTTGTGGACGCACGCGTTCCCTGCGGGGCGGCCCTGAGCGCCGAGGGGGCCCGGTCCGGCTCCCAGGCTGTCCGGGGCGCTCACCTGGTTGGCGCCCGGGGGCCCTGGCAGCAGCCTGGTGATGGGGTGCTGGAGGAGCGCCCCGGGCTGCCTCCTCTCCGCGGGCACACAGATTCCTCTCACATCCGGCCGCACGGAGGGCAGTGACCCTCAGGGCACCCTGTCTAGGGGACACCGAACGTGTGCCTTCACCAGCTCAGCCTCACCCGCCGTCCTGGGGTCGGGGACCCCTCGGCGCTGGAGGTGTCAGGGGCTCCCCTCTCCCCGCTTTGCCCTGCGCCCCGTAATCTGGAGCCTCTGCTCGGACCTGTCCCCTGCGCTTTGCGTCCTGCTGGCGTCCCGCTTGGGGAAGCCCCGCGGTCACAGCGGGACCAGGCGTGTCCGCGGCCAGCGCTGTGGTCAGCCCCACTCCACTCCGCCCCCAGCTTCCCCGGCTCGGCTTCAGGCTCTGCCGCTTCCTCCCGATGGTGGTCCCCGTGGACGGAGATGGTGGTCCCCGTGGATGGAGCTCCGGGCGGTGGGGAGAGAAGACCTTGCACCGGGAGGCTCTGAAATAGAGGCGGCTGCAGGGGCTGCAGGGAGGAGCCCTTGGAGGGAGGGGGGACCGCTTGGGAGGGGCTCGGGAGTGCCCTACAGTCCCCAGGCCCAGGACCGGGCTGGGCCCAGGCACTCTGCCAGCT